GAGGTTCTTCTCTAACTCGTCTAACACCGCCCTTCCACCAGCATGGATGCAAAAATGCTCAATTGCTAACTTAAAATCGGGAATGTACGGCTTAATTTTCATTTTGAATGCTTTTCTCGCGACTAGTGTGACAAAAAATAATAGTTGTTCAGACACGGGAAGGACTAATGGCCCTAGGGTTGTAATGTTGGCCTTTAGGGCTTCCCCAGCTACGGCCATTAGGTCTTTTGAGAGAGAAACTCCAATTTTCATATCTTCGTCTTCTTTTTGGTATACACAAGAGTAACTTTTGTCATCTGCCCCCTTGTGGGTACGAACCGTGTGTACAAGTTGGTACTTAGAACGACGTCTATCACTAGGTCGATTCGAGAGAAGGATGGCAGCTCCTCCCTTACGGAAGAGGCAATTTGATAACAACATCGATCGATCATTTCCCTTGTACCAATTTTGTGTGATGTTCTCCGTGCTCACTACCAAAGCATAGGTGTTACCATGTACCTACATTTGCGTACAAAGAGTAATTAATTATTAAATCTTCTAAGAAAAAAAAAAACAATTAAGCAATAAATATCACTATAAAAATAATTATTTTAACAACTTTCTTAGGGAAATCATAAGCAACATAAGATTTAAGGACAATTATAATCTTATTCATGGACAATTGGACTTACAAATGTGTAAGTACGTCCAATAAGAACAATGGAATTAAATTAAATTATTAATTAAAGAATAAGATATAGTAGTAGTTGTTGTTGTACTTGACCTAACTGACCTACCCTTCATGCTTTCTTGTTATCAATATTAATTAGCTGAACACTTAATTTAATGATCTTATTATAAACATTTCTTTATCCAAAGTGTAACAAGTTATCACTATGCGTAAATTTAAAGCGGAAACTTTACGAATTTTAGAGAGTGGATCTTAGAATCTAAATTATGCTACTCAGTAGTATATAATTCAAAATTCCAAAAATGTCCCTAAAAGTCAAACATGAATTCTTCTATTTATTACTTTGAGTGTACATAAACATCCATTTTACCATTATTTTACACGAGGAAAAAGAAATGATAAAAGAGTAAAATTGTGGTTCATCTTTTGGTCTATTTTATAAAATTTTTGAGTAACTTTTGACATATATAGAAAGTTAGATAGGCTTACGAAATAGGGGACATTTTTTTAAATGACAACAAAAAAAGTGAGCAATTTTATTCCTCACTTTTAAGGGAATCCTAATCACTCCAAAAGAAACTGCCCAAATTTGAGCTACATTATTCTACAATACTTAATGACTCCCACCAACAAAATCAAGTGTAGTGTCATACTCCTATATATCAAGAAAATTATAATTTTAAATTTTGATTTAGATTCATTAAGCATGTTATTATGTAAATGATATGATTATATAATACCTGTGATAAATAATAAAATATTTCAAAGTTGCCACTAATATTAAACGGAGGTATTAAAAATTATATAAATAAATACCTGAAGAAGTTCCTTGGCAAGATCAATGGAAATGAGGCCAGCACTGCAACCCATACCACCAAGATTGTAGCTCAAAATGTTGCCTCTAAGCTTGTAATGGTTAACAATCATAGCGGACAAAGACGGTGTCGGGTTGAACAAGCTACAATTTACAACCAAAATCCCTATATCCTTAGCCTTCACCTTAGTCTTAGCCAACAATTCATCAATGGCTCCAAACATCACCAATTCGGCCTCCTTTCGAGCCAAGTCCATGCACGGGTTGTGTGGAACGTTGATCAAAGCGTCGGGGAAGTACGTATCTTGACCTAAACCCGACCTTTCTAAGATCTTCTTTTGAAAATCTATGTTTTCTTGTGTGAAAGCCCCGACTCTATAGGTTCGATCCATGAAAATCTCCCTACTAACTTTCCTAGATGGATCGGGCTTGTAGCACGCGAAGTTAACCAAGTATATCTTTCTAGGCCGACTCATGAAGTATAGAGTACCAAGAAAGACCAACAAGGCTGTGCACATAAACACCGTGACCATATTATACTTAACAAGGTCTAGTGACAACTGAACCAACCCTTGGAGCGAATGTACTGAAACGTGTACACTACTTAAGACCGTAAGCATCAAAGGGACTAACATTAGATACAAAAAATTCGAGATTAAATAATGATACCCTAGCTTAACGTACTTCAATCGGACCGACTGATTGAAGTTCGGAAGCTTATAATTGTTACCATTATTACTATTATTATCGTTACCACTCATCTTGTTGTCACCCCTATTACCATTGGCTTCCGTGTTTCGACTCATTTCTTGTGCCATTTTTTGAGAGAATTTATGTAAAAAAAAATATGAAAGTTTCCAAAAAATTTGGGATGGAGGGAAAGAGGCAAAAGAGTAAGGTAATTTATAGGGAAAAGAAAGTATGTAAGAAGATACGAAGTAGACCAACGAACAAGAGAATATAACGTGGGAAAAAAGAGAAAAGATGAGGTTATTAAGATTGATGGTACAACTATACCAACTACCCCAACGAACTTTTAATTGAATGCGCGCCTTTGAATAATTCTTTGGTTTATGGCATGAGATGGGAAATTATGTAACAAACAATTTAATTTAATTTGGGTAGGCGTTCAGCAGGGAAATGGCAGGTCTTATGCAATTAATATAGTATACAAAGTTTATTTTTATTTTCTCCAATTGCATAATTTATGATGATTGAGCCATTATTTTTTGACTGCCAAATTTAATTTACAACACGTCTTAATGATGAATCAATTTGTACACTCTTGTGTATCTTGACCTTTTTAACATTATTGAGTTCACACTAGGGTCTTCCTAAGCTATTATGAGTAACAAATCGCGTTTTTTTTTGTTTTTTCTCGGACTTTTACTTTCAACGGATTTTATTACAACAACTGCGACACATGTTGGATTAACCTAATTGAAATGTCACATAGGTACATTTATCTCTCGAAAATGACTAGGTTTTTTTTTTTTTTTTTTTTTTTTTTGTAAAAATATCTTCTCTCTAAGGCTCTATTCTCTTTACTTACTTTCACTAGTTTTAAGGAAAAATGAGTTCCAAATATAAACCGTAGAGTAATAAATTTACATAAGTTTGGATATGTTAAGTTTAAGAAAAATAAGTTTTGATAGAGCCATAAAGGTTAATAAGGGCTAGAAAAGCTCAATTATATCCAAAATAGTTATCCTCAAGTTAGTCCATCCTAGACCAAATTATGACCTGTTCTTTTCAGCTTAATTTCAGTTTCAGTTCAATTCACTTCAGTTCAGTTCCTAATTTCTTTCTCTCATAAACAATCTAGTTCAGTTCAACTCAGCTCAGTAAATCATAAGTTCAAATCAGTAAAATTCAAGTGAATTGAACACACATCGATTTTTATTTTTTTTTCTAACATAGTAACATGATCGAGTTTTGAGATTATTTTGTACAGAAGTTTGAATAAAGTAAAAATCAAATCGATGTAACAAAATAAACATAATGAGTAAAAGATATAAAGTACACACTAGAGGGTAATTCAAATTTGATTGTAACCTATCCTGTCGATAATTCGGAATTTCGGGATTAATCCCCCTGTTACATCACATAGAGGTTTTACTCGTTTGGTGGGGGCATAGGATTTTATGGGTACAGGTTGGACATATTAAGACCATATGGGCAACTAGCTGATAGTTGTCCAAAGAATTAAAGAGAGTAATACTTGTTCCAACTGTTATCATCTTCTTCAATTTTACAGCCAGTGATGAAGATGTTTACGAAAGATGTACCCCCCATATTGCTGGAGTTAGTACGCTTATTTAATGGTCAAGTAAATAGTTGAGGGTACACAAATTTAGGCATAAAATTTACCTTTTTTTTTTTTTTATTCTTTAATTAGGATGATATTAAGCAATTATTTTAATTTCAGTATCACTGCTGCTTTGCTGGAGAGATTGTGAACTAATTAATCACCAAAAGAATCCTCAAATCATTTTGGCTCTACATTTATTTGGCCATTATTATGTACTTGTATGTTTGAATTATTATTATTAAAACTTATTAATAATTCAATCGTACTTATTGAGAGAATTACAAATCTATCAAGATCTCTCATGTAAACGTATTTTCTTTAGTATCGTAGGTAATAGTCAAACTTGTCATTGACATTAAAGTCAATGTGTAATGGAATATATGAGACGGAGGAGTCTTTGACATTAAAGTCAAAGGATAAAGAAAAATGTGAGATAGAGAAATATATGAATTTGTAAGTACAATTATACCGTGTTGATAATACGGAGTAATTCATAATTTATAACTCGTGTTTTATGTGATCTTGACTTTTTGTAATGGTCAAAATGTCACAAAAAAAAAAAAAAAAGTGATCTTACTTGAGAAATCAGTGTGACTCAATGCAATAAGGAATGAGACTAACCTTCTTAGAGCCATTAGCTGTTTGTATATGGTTCAATGAGGAGGACTTGGGTTTGTGGATTTGTGTGTTGATCTTGTTAATCTTGTCTTCCTACAACAATAAGAGAAATTCAATTAAGTTGATTGGATCCAAAAACTTGCATAAATCTAATAAGTTAATTCACATAAAAGTCAACTTTACTAACAAGCGACTTAATGAAATTCGTGGGGACATATGTAATGTATGCAAAATGTGTTGTTCAAAAGCAATGTTCATGTTATTGCACGCAAGAACATGAGCCTTTTTGAAATTAGAGGACTAAAGTAGTTGATTGTGTCTAGGGAATCAGCTAAAGAGCCATAAAGGAAAATAATGTAGACGACATACCTTATTTTTGTCCACCTTCAATTCAATTAACTAAGATAGTTGTCATCCAAGTTGTTAGTTTCATTTTTCAACTCGTTAAAAGGTTAAAAAGTTTTAGTTCTTATACTAATCCTGTTAAGAGAAGTTCAAACAGTTCTGAAACCCACTTGTTCCTGAAACTGATCTGACACAAAAATTCAGATTTCAAGCATGAAGAAGATAGGCCAAGCTAACCTTTAGAAATCTGGTATACATTTTGATATTTGGGAACTCCAATTTACAGCAAAAGCAGAAGCTGCTCCTAGATCTGTTGTATCACACTAACATTTGATCGTTAACTCTGAAAACTATCGAATAACATAGGCTGTCTATCAAACACTAAGAACGCAGTAATGGCATGGAGCATAAAATCCAGATGCTGCAATAAACTGATGTATAAGGGACATAGATCTGTTTCAATTTTATAAACTGATAACACCATATATAATGATAGAAGTTAAATCCTGGTATATCAGGAGCAGATATTACAATATGTCAGAATATTTTTTTTATGAAAAGATAAAAGGTATGGAGATCATCATCAGAACACAAATTTACATCATGTAGTTCTGATTGATAACCCCAACTTTTAAATTTCTGCAATCTAGTTTTACTCAAGTCAAAAAGATTACAACTAGAATAGCAATTTAATCACTCTACGAAAAGTTTTCAGCCATATACACTAGATAATAGATACCAACAGGTCCAACACTACTAAGACACTCAGGGAAAGAGACCGTAGCCACGAAATGTCCTCTCAAATCCATGAAACAGGCACTTCCTAGCTGATGTTCTTGACACTTTCCTACTAACCAACTTGTCATATCAGATGGTGATCGTCGATACTGGTATAATGGCTAATAAACATCTTAATCTCAACATTAGTGCTAAATGACAATATCATTGACCATACAAGTCCCTACTAACAGTATCAATCTACAGGTCAAGATCAGAAGGAAAGAAAATCCTACATATATGATTAACTGATTACTGCAGATAGGACGCATCATTTGGATGCTACGATTCTTAGAGAATCAAATCAGAGCTATAAAACACAAATTTTCCAGATTTTTGCTAGTGACAAAGTGCTTATGTTCAACATATGCATAGTAATATTGGCTGTAAATGGAGTCTAAACTTGATGACGTATGCTCTTAATAGGCACAGTATATCGCTGCCTTCATCAAGCAACCTCAGAGGTATGTAAGATATTTCTACACCCAGAAAAAATAGTTGTTTAAAACTTTTAAGAATTTTGCAAGTCTTTAAATTTTCACCACACCTAAGCTAGCTAGATTTTGTGGTTATATATTAGCACTGTAGGTGAATATAAACATTCAATCTCAGAATTTTCTTTTGCTTACAAAACTAAAATCGATTAACATGGGTCAAAGAGCTTGGTAACTACTTCTCAATACGCTTCTCCTGTCAACAAAACAAGACAAAGTGTGGCTTATTAGCTGCTGCGGTATTGAGTCTGAGCATACATCTACATTACTGAGTGTTTTATTTCTAAGTAATGCGAAGCAGCTATTATGTGCTGCTGACCAACTTGTCCGCTTTTCAGCCAGTAAGAGGGGAAAAAAAGGCTCAGAGGAAGAGTGCATAAGCCTCTTCAATATATCATAGTAGACTACTATGATTGTCAAGCATTTAAGCTGGCTGCATGCTAATGACTGGATTAACTACTCTGTTTTTTGAATCAAATACCTTTAAAATTAAAAATAAAGAACAAGTTGATTTAATTCAGTATCACACCCAAGTCCTAATACACACAGAAGACCTAGCCCAGTGACAGGCATGTATTGTCAAGATCACAAGTATGTGAATTTGAGTTCAATGGCAATTAATTCTGATACACAGGCTCAATTGCTTTGGCGCACTACTCGAACCAAATACAGGAACTTACATTTTTTCCCCATGATCTATCAAAGGGTATCACTACTTGTCCACTTTGTCTTTCTTTTAAGCATTTAGGTCTTCCCTTTGTACATATTAATGTATAATATAAAATCAAAACTTCTACAAGGACTTTATCCAAGACAAACCATGATGGCAACCTAACTCTCTATTTCCTGCAGCCACTCTAAATGTGAAGCAGAGAGTGTGTAGATTGGTAACTAAGGAAATGGAAAGAAATTATGCCCAACTTCCAAGCTGGTGACGGTACCTCCAAACAACGGCAAAAGAATTAAAGAAGAATGGGATTGTGACACTGAGCAATGGGAAGAGAGGGAACAAAGTGAAGGAATTTTTGTGCCAAAGAAAATAAATAGAGGAATAGCAGGCCCTCTTCTTTATGGAATTAGGCCCTCAAAATATCAAATATACGTATAGCCGTATACATATGGTAAGGAAAGTGACTTAAAAGTACTGCAATGGAGCATGATAGAGAACCCTACTAAAATGAGCATAACCTCATTGTTTGACTCAAGCAAGATCGTGAAGTCTTGGTACACAATGACGTGTTCAGTCCCAAATTGGCAATAGCATCAAACTTATACCTCTGTATCAAACAGCTGTACATTAATAAGTTGAGGATATCCTAGAATTGTGTCTAGTCACCCTGAGAAGAATGTGATGAAAACAACTCGTGGCATTATATGATGAAGACCGACATTATATGATAAAAACCCAAGTTGAGCCAAGGCTGGAACTGCACCACCTGGTAAATGGAAAATCAAAGTTACTCAAGTTGAGAGTAAGGATAGAATTAAGACAAATGAAGGCACCAAGCCACCAAGTGCAAATAGTAATAACTCAAGGATGAACACAAACAGAAACACAAACCAATCATAACCAAGTTACCAAGGTTTAATAATGTTGGGACAAAGAAGGCATGAACCCAAAGCCACTAGCCACTAGCCACCAGCTACCAGAAACAATACAACCATTATCAAAGGGCTGAACACACCAACAAGATTCAGAATAGTATAGCTGTCATAGTGTCATATGCTACTCAAGTCAGCTAAATTACAAGCAAAATTTCGACCAACTTCCAATGTATTTTTTCATCTAGCAACAAAATCCAGAAGAGGTCCGAACTGAATCCTTTTTATCAACTGCAGAACTACTATTTTAAATCTTTGTCTTCTTTTCCTTGAGTGCAGGATTACTACTTGCAGTTGAGAATGTGGTTTTGTTGAAGGAATCTGATATAAGGTAAAGCACTGGATAGGGATTTCAGGGATAGCCTATAGCTGGGAGAGAAAATGGAAAATGGTAGCTAGATCTATCAAAGGGAAAACAGCAGAGAAAACTCTCTACTTGGTCTTCCAATTGGGCTTGTCTGACGTATCATTGTATCAAAAGGTTTGGGGTGCACTGAGGCAATCAAGACCCTTCAACACCTTTTGATTAGCCCATAATTTAACACCATTTAGTTGAATATTGGGATGCAATTGCATGTTTTGCACTTGAATCTCATATATTTTGATTACTTGTGTACAATGTCACGATTATTCTGTGATCTAGATAATTTTGAGCACCGATAAATGAATACAAGAATCGCATGACATATTATAGACCAAAAACACGTTATAATTAAGGAAGATGCAAAGTGGTATCAAAAGATAAACAAAGACTACAAATGTCACACTATTTTGTCCCTATCTTTATATTTACAAATGATCTTGCTGTAAGGCCAATTAGGATGGAAAGTAGAGCTTAACTCAGTGCTTAAGAGCTTTCCAGTGAAGCTTTCTAATGATATACTTTAGTCTAAGATTCTCAAACAAAGCTTTAATTTAAAATTATGGGCAACGTGAACATCCATGCATTTCCTAATTGCATCCAGAATTCCAGACCACCTTGCACAACTGTGCCATACGAGCCGAACTCAATCCTTGTTTACAGCATTGCTAAGTCAGTTTATATGTTCTAAAGACCTGCAAATATTTCCTTAACCCAATTTTAGAGGACAACCATTATTATTATTATTATTATTATTATTATTATTATTATTATTATTTTCATATAATAATTTATGCTTAAGTTTTGGGGACTGAATTTGGATGATCTATATTTTCTGTAAGATTCTCCACAGTTAACTAAGTTTTGTACTCTCTCTCTTTTCTTGCTTTTTTTAAACGACGTTTTCTTTATGCTTTGTTTTACATCTTTAACTACGCTAGAGTGATTTATTAATCTAGGCATTCTAGGGTATGGCTAACCCTAACTATTGATTTGATTGCATGATTAGTGAATATCTAAATTTATTAGATTAAATGTTCTTGCTTATTTAATTCATTTGTATTATGAATACTAGATTAAGTATTACTATCAGAATGAATCTTTACGTCTTAATTACAATAAGAATTGTATCTAGATGGATTGTGTTGCATTAAAATGAAAAAAAAAGGCATAAATTTCTCTATTAGGGCATTGGGTATGAGGGATAGGGATGACAGGGATGCAAACGAGTAATAAGGATAGAATATTGATAGATTGAATAAGGATATAAGTGGTTTCCTTTGATCGGTATAAGTTGATAATAATGGTGGTATAAGTAACAAGATCATTAATATTAATATACCCTTAATAACACTCCCTATCTCTCCTTCTTCCTTTCTTTTCATTAATATGAAGTATACCCTTAAATAAATAGCCCTTTCATATTTCTTCCCCTTATGAGGTTTTGTCCCTAGCCCTATCCCCTATAACTCCCACCCTCCATAAGTCCATAATAAAACACAAATACTTAGGCCTTATTCTTTTGAACTGGATGGGTTTGAATTAGACCAAATGGAATTAAATTTCCAAGAGAAAACTAACTAGACTAGACTGAATTGAACGGAAAAGAAAAACTAAAAAAAAAAGGTCCAATATAGCAAGTCCTTATTCTTTTACCACTTCATTATCCTTAAACCTCATCCCCTATCCCCCTAAATAAACAACCCCTATGGAAAAAGCAATCTGAATTGTCAGGAAACTAAGGTGTTATACTTAAATTCTTAAAGCTGCATGAGTCCATGAGATTAGGTGTGATTGCACATTGGGGAAGCCATAGATACTCGGAAGAGGTTTATTAGCCTTTGGTTTAGCTAATTGGGTTAGCAACAAAAAAAATTATCACTTTGAAAGTCTAACAAGGCTTGGCATTCACACAAGCACACCAACATAAAAGTTGTAATTCTTAGAAACATGCCATAAAGGCCCGACAAAACAAAATATTAAGTATAACATGCTGCCTAAAGCCCATTATTATTCATCCTCTTTGCTTTTAAATCACAAAATGCAAAGCACCCAACTCCATATTCCCAATACAAAAAAAAAAAAAAAAAAAAAAAAAAAAAAAAAAAAAAAACAAGAAATTGCTGTTAGACCTATAAACAAGACAGTTTGATTGGTTTGGATCATGTGATTTCCTTGCAAGGTCATAAACTAAAGCTTGAAACTTAATAATTGAGGTTATTTTATTTGTAGTTCTAACCAGCAAACGGACCATTTCAAGCTAATAAACTTTCAGCTTTCTCATTCATATTTTATAACCCAATTCAATTATACCATCTTTTAGTCATTATCAATAATGAATGTTCAATTAGAGCTACATTTCCAGCATATCAATATAACAATTTCATATTTTAGTCAATACATGTTCATTTTCAGTTGCATCATAACATAACAAACATCAAAAATCAAGCAAATTAAAATAAAGCAAAGATATTTTACCATAATTAAATGCATAGAATGCACTTGTTGTCATGTTGTGCCACCAACAGCAGATCAATCTGAAATAGTGAAATTATTTACAAAATTAAGGCAGATATTGAACCATTTAATTAAATTCAAAGATAAAACTATAAATAAATAAATCAATTACTGAATAAAGGAAATTTTTAAAATATTTAATCTAAAATTTTGAAAGCAATGTGAATGTCTATATTTTGAAAGCAACATAAGGCACAATCCAACGGCTAGTTTACTGTATTTCTCCCAAAAAAAAAAAAAAAAAAAAAATCAATTGAAAAGTGAAAGCTAAAATAAACCGAAAAAGAATTAACTTTTTTTTTTATTATTACTAATATTTATGTATACCATATCTTTGAAAAGATGAACATTGCAATGTAGAAATGGAGAGGAATCAAGAACTTGGAATTTGAAGGATTCGTCGACATTACACCTTCTATAAACCCTAATTCCTCTTTTGTTGCTGATTTGCCGCCTTTGATGAGAACTGTCGAACTAGTGGTTTACTTTGGACATTTGGTACAAAAAATGCTTGTTTATGCAACCACAATTCAATTACGGAGTACAGAGTAACATAACGTGCTAGTCAGTAGTCACACTATGGTCCTGTTCGGCATAACTAGTGAAGCGGTAACTTTAAACAGTCAAGAAACAGGTAGCTATCGGTATAACAAGCAGCTATCAATTAATAGTAGGGAGTGAGTAGTAGACTAGTAGTAACTTCTAACTAGCGGGTGAGTGAGTGGCAAATGAAGCAATTGAAGTACTAAGGGCTTGTTTGATATCAGTTTCGATTTTTAGTTTCATTTTTTTTGAAAACCAAAAACCAAAATGAGAAAACAAAAAAAAAGTATTTTCACTTTTCAGTTGTTAATTTTTAAAATTATCATGATTTTAATATGTTTAAATAATTTTTGATACATTATGGGACATATATCATATACTTTTAAAACCCAAAAAAAACAGAAAAACACAACAATGTCATACGAATCCTAAAGTATTAGAGTATTGTTTTACTTGTAAAAAAGTAACCAAAATTTTCAAACGCTACCTGTTAGAGGTTGCCCCAGTCAATCACGTTGATTAACAAAATATTGTAAAATCGGCCCCTCTTGTGGGTCAGCTTTGCAATATAATACACTTTTTATGTTTTTTTCTTTTTTTAAAAATAAAAAAAAATAAAAAAAAAAACACTTAGATCTAACATCACCATTCACGAGGGACAAACCACCACCATTCTGTCTACTCCCTATCATCCCGCCGATCATCTCTCATCACGAAGTCACTGCACTACCATTATTATCCCTCTGTCATTTCACCGGTCAACCATGAACCTCCCCAATCATCTCCATCTTCTCATGTTCGTCAGCCGCCATCATTATCACAACTCCGTGTTCCTCTCTGAAAGGTCCTCTCTGCATCCCTCTTCTTCTTCCTCCCTCAATAACCACTCCAGCGTCGCTTCGTAGCGGTAACAAAAAGATACCCTAGTAGCAAAAGGGTGTAAACTAGGGTCATATCAAACCCTTAGGGTAGCATCTTCTTCACGGAAGCAATTTTAACACCTTAGATGGTGTGGTGTGGTGGTGGTGGTCTACAATTGAGATTTCATGGAGGAAGAAGGTGGGTTGATGTAATGGAAGAATGGAGAATGGAGGAAGAAAGGGATGAAACTTACAAAACTATCCCTAATTAAACAAATAAAATATCCCATATACCCCCTGATTTACATTGCTTGTTAATCAGACCGATCAACTAGTATTTCCTCCTACATGCTATCTTTGAAACGTCACAATTTTTAACATTTGAAAAACTTACCAAAACATTACCTCTAACGCTTACCTCTATCAAACCAATACCTCATCGAACACTCTTAAATTGGTCAAAACACTAAGTTGGTTAAAAAAAAACTAACCAGTACATCAAACGCTACCACCAAACAAGGTCTAACTCAAAATATAAAAGGGCAAATTATAAAGAACATGGACTAATGAACACATAGAAGGGTGTAAGACATAATAATTATACTTCATACATATATACATTTAAAAAAAATCATAAAATGTATTTTTCAAACCCCGAATAGACATTTAATTTGTTAAAAATCAAGATCATAATGAAAATGCATAGAATTTTTAAAAAAACACATTTAAACCTAAATAGCATATACTTTATGTTGAAAGAGCATAGATTGTCATTTTAACCAAGTGTATCATGAGCACTAAGCTCTTGAGTGCACCACCTAACTGGTAAATAGCTAAAAAGTGCATTCTAGAGTTTGAATAAATTCAATTGATCTCTATTTTATGCAAAACACATAATTCTATCATTTTTTTTTCATAATGGCCAACTTACACTTATTAGATATTATAATGTGTTACATCATAAAACACCATTAACATGTAAGAGGTACCTTTGCGATGTCACTAAATGTCACATCTATCCTATCACAGAGGCACTCAATATTGATATTTTAGAATTCATTTTCTCAACACTTTACTAAATTCAATGGCTTATTTAAGAATGAAATGGCTATTATTGGATTCATCTGATGGGATTAAGGTAACTTTGACTCTTCTTGTATGCAATACTTTTGAGGTTGACTCCATTCTTTCAATGGAATCCCAATGGATTGGAAAATAAATCAAGTTCTATTACTGAAAAGTGACAATTTAATTATCCTCATTATAAATGATCCCTTTTGAAACCCTCACATAATGGAGGAAAGCAATACCTTCTTTGAATATTTTTGAAGAACAAAATATTCAGAAAAGCAAGTAAAAGCAAGCTGATTTGATGGACAATGTGTCAAAATGCCTATGAAGAGGAAAGCTTGAACTTGAAGTAATTAATTAAAAAAAAAATCAGAGTTCTAGTAAGCAAATTAGAAAACTAATCATAATTATCTAAGTATGCTTAGTTGAGCTTTACAAAAACTACTTATAGTCCAAAAACTTGAAACCCATAAACTAAGAAAATCGCTTCCACAAAACCTTACTTGAGTAGACCACGCAACCTCACATGTGTAAAAGAGGGTTGAAAGTCTTTTTAAAGCCGTTGTGCTAAAGGAAATTGGCTTTAGATCTAACGGGCATGCAGTGTGTTGAAGATAAAATGCTATTGCTCCACTGCATGTTTGCATCCTACGTCTAAATAACCAAACAACCCACCCAATCGACACGGTGGAGGTCGGATACAAAAGTAATACTTCCGCATGTTGCTTCCCAAACCTCGCCCGATCATGTATGTCCCAAAATTTTGCTTGATTAGGTGGACTAGAACCTTCATTCACTGACGTACGTAATCGCTCATGACCTCTTTTTTAAGAAGAAAATGATCGAAAACTTCTAGATCCTACAAAAGTCAAATAAATCTTAACCCACTAAAGAAGAGTATTAGTAGAAAATGGTTACAAAGAGCTAAAAAATGCAAGTGAATAACTAAGAAACAAGGGAATATTAGGAAATAAATTAGGGCATAACAACAAACCTAATCTTTTGCTTTAATTAAATGGTAGAGTAATGTTTTTGTTTAATTATTTGCAAGAACGAGTCAAATGTCGAGATTAACTTAATTTTTCCCTAAAAAAAATACAGTAACTTTTATTTTTTGTTTTATTTATTTGTCACACGAACATAAAATTACACTTTTTATGTCTTAAACCTAAATTTAATGCTATTTTGTTATTTACTCGTTTATTCATACTATTCACAAATCAATGAATCACAATTAGTGTATAAAAAATAACTAAAATTATGGATAAAAAAACTTTTATACCAATAACTATTTTTTATTTTTTTGTTTATAACTTTTATACCAATAAGATTAATTGGCCAACAAATCTTAGAGATACATTAGGAATTTTTCCCATATTCTCCTATGTTTATTTTTCCCCCCTTTGGAGCTTTTTCACGTTTACGCTGCGTCGCTGCTCCTCTTCTTCTTCTCTCTCCTCCATTAAAGCCTACTCTTAATCCTCCATTGAAGCAGCTTCTTGTCTTTCTCTCCTCCATTGAAGCACCTTTGAGGTAAAGATGTTTTTTTGCCTTTTATTTTTGTATAAATCATCGAATATCAATTTCACAATCTAGTGTTAATCGTTAATTTAATTTGTCACTATGTTCAATTTAGGGTTCTTCTTAGGTGGATTATTGAACTATTGGTTGTAATTATTGAAGTTGTGAATGATTATAATGAGCGATTTTGTTGCTGGGATTTTGAAATTCGTAGTGTTTAGCGAGAATAATTTATTATGATTTTTTGAGCTAATATCGATGATTGAATCAAATTTGGGTGTTAATGTGTTGCAGGATTTTGTATATAATAACCCTTTAATGTTAGGAGGGAACTATGAAAATGGACCTTTACTCCCTGGGCCTAGGGTGGTCGCCCCTCATTCCTTGGCTCAGGGACGGGCTTGCTTGGATGAGTATGTGAATCGTGATGATGTCGAATTGTATCGTGCCCGGGAGGTTATTGAGACTGCCAGCACGAGTGGCGGTGGTGGCAGTGTCTTTGAAAATGCTATCACTGTGGTGTCTACTGCTGCAGGAAATACTTCTACTAGTACAAGTACGATGTATTTTCCCCAAACTATTGTGTTTTGTGAGCTCCGTCACGAGGGTTTTGAGGATTCGGTCCCCACTGGGCCTGCTGAGAGCGGGTTGGTGTCGAAATGGCGGCCTAAGGATCGAGTAAGATTTCTTTTTATTCTTGGAGTAGCTTTGTTTTGGTTGTTGTTGTTCATATAGTGTGGATAGAATATATATGGACTTGGGAAGTGTGTAATGTATGAAAAATCTATAAGTTTTCTTATGCTGATTTTATTTTTATAGTTGGGAAGAATTTAAGTCTATTTCTTTGAGTTTTAGGTATATGTTGTTCAGGTTAAGCTGCAATTGTGCTAATTTTTTAAAATAGATTACTACAAGAAGTCCTCTTGTGTGTGATACTGTTAGGAGTCCATGTGTCATATTTACAAAGGGTGAACCTTACTTGTGCTGAGATTATCTTCTATTCCATATTACTTTGTTGAGGATGCAATGTAGTACTGGGGGAATTCTACAGTGCTCAACAAGCTAGTTTGACAAGTGGTATTAACCAATAGAGATATAACTCTTCTTAAACCAACAGATTGTCAAATGATATCGACACAATTGTTACTTAGGTGTCTATATATATATATTTTGTTAACAAGGTTTGTTAAGACAACATTAGAAAGTGATACTTTTGTTTAGAAAGAGCTTTAAAATACTCCAAAGTATTTATCAGTCAGAAAACTCTTTGAGCTCTCCTGTTGTTTAGGCTCAAATCAGCTTTGAAATAACACTCTGGAACTGTTTGTTTGCAAGATTATGGGAACAGTAGCTCATTCTTTCTTGCTTAGTAGTTTCCTAGGATAAATGGTCCTATGGGTTGGAAAAAATTGCCTTTTTTTTGACTAAATATTTAATTCCAGAATATAAAAAAGTTTATAATAAAAGATAATAAAGCTGTGCCTCGTATACAAAAGGTGTGAGCCTTCACCTTGCGCCTAGGCTTCAAAGACCCTTCGTGCCTCGGTGCGCCTTGCACTTTTTAAATCTAAGGATTTGAGAGATTGGGTGAAGATGAAAATGTGTTTTGCTGGTGCTTTGGCCTTTTTGGGAGATATCTTCTGCAGAAATCATTTAGGGGGAAATTTTAATGAGAAAGCTAGCTTTTGAGTTTATATGCAAATGGCTTTTATGGATTGAACTCATTGAAGTAAAGGAAGAGGCAGGATAAGGATGGCTGACCTTAATTACTAAGATTTTTAGGGACAAGGGGTTTGGTTTGTTCTAATTCATGATGTCTTAGATATTATGTGATTCTTGAAGTGTTGAAATCGAAGTTTATTCCACCATAATGCACATTCAGCTAGTTAGTTACTTTGAATGGATCATAGTTGCCAATTACCGGGTAGGCTGTTAAATGATAATTAAAAAAATTATTTTTTTTAAAAAAATAAAATTACAATGTGCAGAAATTTCTTAGGAAATGATTTGAATCGGATACACATTGGGCTTTTGATGTGTCATTTTCCTTCTATCATTTCACTATGAGTTAGGTTGTTTTTAATGCTTACCACTAGATACATTTTTGCAGATGAAGACAGGAATGGTAGCTCTTGTTCTATGTTTAAACATCAGTTGTGACCCACCTGATGTTATTAAAATATCTCCTTGTGCACGTTTGGAGTGCTGGATAGGTACGTCCAACTTCTTTTCTGTTCATTTGATTGTGACCTATGTTGCTTAGACTTGGGTAGAAGTGTGAGACAAAAGTATGTGTTCAAGTGTCAAACTCAATAATGCTACAAGAGTTTTGCAAATTTGCTTAATCTAAGTTTCATACCAATGTCTGAGTGTTGGATATGTAATATGGGTACTTGAAATGAAATGAAGAGTCACAATAACGTAGATTGTAACAACTGAATATTTAAGTTAATGGGTTCTCTTTTTATTTTTTTTAATGATGAAGATTAAACTGAATTGGAGATGAGATGTTCCTAATGTTGGTGTGTAGCGTTGTCCATTACTTTCATATTTTTTTTGGCAAGTGAACTACTCTCAATGCTGTTATGCAGGAAAATAAATTTTTTTCTTATATATTTGTTAAAGATCCCTTTAGGGTTAAATAAGTATGACCGCTAAAGATCTTCTCATAATAACATGAAAGAGCAAGTTGTGAGATGAAAAGTTTTTGGATCGCCTTGAGGGTCAATCAAGCTTGTTTAGTATCTCTATGGTAATTTTTTATTTGTTTTAATATTTAATGTAAAAAATAATTACTATGTAGATGTAAATTGGTTAGCAACCTCCGAAAAGGTTCATTGATGATGGCAGAATATTGATTTATTAATTGTGGGTTTTAAACAATAATGGCAGTAAGAATACATCCATTGAAACAATTGATGAAGTTGAATAGATAATACTTCCTCCGTTGTTTTTTACTTGACCCGCTTTGACTTTTACACTATTCACCAACCCACCTTTGACCGTCTTTTGTGAATTATAGGTAAAGAAAAACGTATTCATGTAGGATCTTGTTAGAATCGTCTAATAAGTACTATCACAATATATAACTTTTATAATTTTTACTTATAGAGTATTAAAATTATTGATGGTTAAACTTGTGCATTGGCAAATATGATAAAAGAAACAGGTCAAGTAAAAAAGAACAAAGGAAGTAGTTAAGAAAAAGATGTATGAAGTGGCTGAATCAACACGATGTCATTTGTGAAAGCCATAGAACTTTGAAACGGTCATTTTACTAATATATGGTGCTTAATGATGGGGAAAGGAGAATCTTCAAAAAGAATGAATGGGGCTATGAGCCTATGACAGATGTTTTGCCTGATCTCAAATTCTGCCTTTTGGACATACCTTTAGTGGAGAATTTTGATTTTGTAGAAATATGTGTTGGGCATAATGAATGTATGATGAAATAGTGACAACAATGATGTACTTTTGTTATACTGTAATATTTTTCAACGTGTGTGTGTGTGGTTGTGTGTGGTTGTGTGTGTGTGTGTGTGTGTGTGTGTGTGTTGTGTGTGTGTGTGTGTGGCTCTTCTTTCATTGTATTTTCATCATTTTTTTTGTCCCTGTTTTTTTCTCCTTATTTTTGTTTCTGCTAGCTCTTGTTTTTCTCTCCTTGTTTCTTTTTTGGAAGGTTGTTGTGGGTGTTTTTAGTGGATGAGTTATTTTTTCTTAGCGACTTCATCCTTGATTAGGTTGTGTGATCTTTAGATGCATTGTTTTGAAGCTTCTATATCCTTTCTGTTACTGTTTCTTTGTTGCCTGCTTGGATATAAGTATAGCAGTTGTGATTATCCTTACCCGTGCTCCATGGTGTCAGACCCATTGGCCATGGCACCTCAAAAAGCACTGGAAGCAATTGGAAAGGCCCTTAGTCTGCAGTATGAAAGATGGCAACCCAAGGTGAGTACTATTTATCCTTTCCGTAACACACTTCTGTTTTTCATCATGTTCATATTCGATATTCCCTCGTTTGGCTGACTCGAAATGGTGTTGCTCCTTTATAATTTTTTGGTATCTTCACAGGCTCGGTACAAGTACCAGCTTGATCCGACGGTAGAAGAAGTGAAGAGATTATGTAATACTTGTCGTAGATTTGCAAAGACAGAGAGAGTTTTGTTTCACTACAATGGACATGGAGTGCCAAAACCAACAACCAATGGTGAAATCTGGCTCTTCAATAGGGTAAATTGCCTTTTAAACTATCTCATTTCCCTTGTAGCTTTACCTCTTGGAGCTGACTGTTTGCTTCAATATGCGCTTATGCAGAGTTACACACAGTATATCCCCTTGCCAGTCACTGAGTTGGATTCTTGGCTAAAATCACCGTCAATCTATGTGTTTGATTGTTCTGCTGCCGGAAATATACTTAATGCTTTTATAGAGGTATAGACCTTTTTTGCTGGTGCTTAAAAGCCCCTTTTCCTATGACCCTATAGAATATAGATGATATGGTGGTGGATGATATGGTTAGTTCTGATTTTGACAGCTTATCGATGCATCTGTTTCCTCCGGTGCTGCAAAGGATTGCATCTTGCTTGCAGCTTGTGAAGCTCATGAGACCCTTCCTCAGAGTGCTGAGTTTCCTGCTGATGTTTTCACTTCTTGCCTCACAACACCTATCCAGATGGCCTTGAGATGGTAATAATTACTTTTTTCACAAATAATTTTTATGATGCAGCTACTGTTTTAATTGACTTCTGATTAAGTGTTGCCAATATCAATCATTCATCTTGAATTGGGAATTTGAACACTTCTTTAACTTGTTCTTCCAAACTAGTATCTTTTTGGAATTGCTAAAACACCGTTGGTTTTCCTCTGTTTAATCTCTCCCACCATCCATTGACAGTAATTATGAAATACAGTCAAGGTTGCCAACTAGCTGCCTGTTTATCCATTATACATTTTTGTTGATTAAATTGATTCACTTAAAAAAGACCAAAATTGCTTTCTTGAGAATGATTTGTTTGGCAGTGCCTCTTTGGTTCCTCGCTAACGTTTGGATTTGTGTGAAAGAATATGTCAACCTATTGGCTCGCTTGCAGTGCTATAAGCCAAATTTGCCCTTTTGTGATGCTTTGACTCATTGTATGACATTGCAACTTCACCTGGGTGTGGAACTGTGGACTATGGACATGTAATACAGAGATCTGGGAGGACTCAGCTCATCTGTGTTCTCTGTTTCAACATTATGATTTCAGCTGAATGCAAAATCAACAATTTCTTCCAGATTAGAAATTACATTATAACCCTAGACATATATCTTGAGCCTTAGCTATGCATGGAAATGGAATGAAACAATGGTGAGAGGCAAACCTCAGTGTGGTATTGGTACATGGTTGCCTGATAACAATCAGAGAAGTGATTGATCTTTGGGTTGGTGGCTGTAGGCCTGCATCTTTGCTTTGACTCATTGTATAACAGTGCAACTTGACCTGGGTGTGGACATGTTATACAGAGATCTGGGAGGACCCAGCTCCTCCATGCTCGCTGTTTCAACATTATGATTTCAGCTGAATGCAAAATCAACAATTTCTTCCAGATTAGAAATTGAAAGCCTTAGACCTATATCTTGAGTCATTATTATGCGCAGGAATGGTTTAAAACACTGGTGAGAGGCATACCTTATTCTGGTATCCTTATTGCTAGTGGGTGGTTGCCTGAGAACAATCAGAGAGGTGGTTGATTTGATGGTGGTGGCGGTAGCTCTGCACTTCTGCTCCTCTGCTGTGTTACTGTTACCCATAATCTGTATACGGTGTAATAATGGGGAGGGGTCTTTCACATTTTAGAAAGGAGGGTTGACTATCAAGGGCCCGAGTTATTTTACTGAATGTTTCTTACTTCCTGTTTTTCTTTTCTTTTCTTTTAATATCTCCATTACTTTCTTTAAATAAGAAATAAGATTGTCAATCCTTTAAGAATTATTTTTAAATTAACTTTAAAATTATTAACCATATAAATTGCTCTCATTTCCAGCTCATATCCAAAATTTTGGACAGTTTTAAATGTTTCCATGTGTTCTTAAATATAGAATTTCCCTTGTCTGATTCTTAGATACATAACTGAGACTTACGCCTGATTGCCTGAATATGATTTCGAACATTAAATCTTTCATGCTATTTGAAGATTTTTATGCCTTTTTAAAATCTTTTTTTATTATTTATTTTTATTTTTTTAATTTTTATTTTATTAATTTCTCTGTCAATGTCTTATGCATGTGAGAACAGCGTTAGTGCTAGGTATAAGGTGAAGGTATTGATAATTTTGCTACAGTGAACTTTGTGAAAGCTAGATGTGTCAATGTCGTCAATAAGATTGGTGAAGAAAAGACTTCTTATGGAGAAGCAAGTAATTGGAAGGTGGATCACAGGTGGCACATAACTTCATATTTTTGTAGGCTGTCTGTGTCTAGATGATCTGATGTAAAGTTCATGTGCTTTTAAATGTAGAGCTGACAAACTTCATAAGTTTATATGCATCTCCAATTTAATTTCTGGTTCATAATTCATAATTGGGATTATAAAGATATTTCTAGAGTGTTTCATGCTTTAATTTTAATAATATTTTAATTCTTGCTTGTTGTGTCACATTTCCATAGTTTCTCATTTGTTTTGTATATGAGTGAATTTATCAGGTTCTGCAAACGGTCCTTGCTTCGTGAATCTCTTGATCATTCACTCATAGACAAAATTCCTGGTCGTCCGAATGATCGTAAAACACTTCTTGGTGAACTTAATTGGATTTTTACAGCAGTGACAGACACGATTGCTTGGAATGTTCTTCCACATGGTAAAGCTGGTTTTATTTTATTATTAGTTTTTATATGTGTGTGCGTGTTTTGAACTTTGGCTTATAGTTCTCCGTGAATTTGGGATGTTTGATATGTTTTCCTGGGATGTTTGATATGTTTTCCATGTGTCAGATCTTTTTCAGAGGTTATTCAGACAAGATCTGTTAGTGGCCAGTCTGTTCCGCAACTTTTTACTAGCGGAGAGAATAATGCGTTCAGCCAACTGCTCTCCAATTTCGTACCCAATGTTGCCACCAACCCATCAGCATCATATGTGGTATGTATGAAACTTGAGCACACTTTTCAGCAGCACTCATCTTTTATGTGCTTCTCTTTCATTTTTTAGTATGTTTTGCATTACTATAGCAAGAATGTTTCTCTTCTTAACAAGACAATAATCCGAGCAATGTCTCTTAATGGTCTTCAAATATGTAGTACCATCTCTTTAAAAAAGCTTAGTATTGGGGTGGCATTCTGGCATTTATTAATTATTGGAGGATTTACTCATTCAATTTGTTACAATGTTACCGTTTATTCTTTTAGCAAGGCTAACTTAACTTTATAAAATAAGTAACATCAATTATCTTTTATAAAAACAATTATTGAGTATACTCGCCACCTTGCTAAGTGGTCATTGCTCTAACAACCGCAACCAACACATGTTTGTTTAGGATTTGCATAATTGATAATTTGTCATCCGGAAGTATTTGATGTTGATGCCATGAGAATTGGAGGTGGTAGCCATGTATTGGATTTCCCCTTTTCCAATGGGCTTGCCTTAGATCAAATCTTCATCCAAACAACAGACAAACTTTTAAATAAATCGGATGTACAATAAATATTGTACATTCGTTATAAAGTTACCCTAAAATGAGTAACAGTTATCCTAATATGAATAAAAGTTACCCTAATATAAATAAAAGTTACGAAGTATTTATGCTTTATTGATAAAAGTTACCTAAAAAATTGTAAAATGACCCTAAATTTGATAAAAGTGACCCCAGATGTACAGTAAATTACTGTACATCGGATGTATACAAAAGTTACTCCAAACAACAGGGGGTATATACTATGAGTTAAGATGTTGAGCCTTTGGTCTAGATCTAAGATAGGGCAGTACAACTGTACAAGGAGTCATGACTTTTTATGCTGAAAGATGTTCATGCTATAAGGAAAGGGAGATTGGCTGATGTAGAAAATTAAATACAATGTTCATGCTATAAGGAAATGGAGAAAGGGAGATTTGCTGATGTAGAAAATTAAATACTGACCTCATACGACTTTTGTTTGAAAAATTTTGTACGGATGATGCGGGGAATACAAAAGGGAGCATAAAACACTTTATGCATGAAAATTAGTTTGGTGATAGGTTTTATAGGAGTGCCTCACGTTCAGCTGTGTACGCCTGATGTATGTAGTGGATAAAGAGGTTTTCATCGGAATCTTGGCAAAATTCTATTCATGACAATTTCGCGTAACAGTCAAAGTGGAAATTGTACGAGTATCGGAGTATGCCAGCCGGGATGCAGAGAGGGAAGCCCTACGAATGTCAATTGACAAGGTTTTTTTTTTTTTTTTTTTTTTTTTTTTTTTTTTTTTTTTTTTTTAAAATCTGGTGTACGTAATAATTTATCTCTAGGATGATGGAGATGCGTAAGAAATTATATTGGAAGGTTTGAAGAGATAATTGTGAAAAAAGAAGGAATTTGCCGGAATGGTTTAAATCCTATTATTCCTTGAAATTATGAAGAGATACAAAGCTGCAAAGGTTAAAGAGCTGAAGAAAATATAAGTTTTTGGTGTTGTGTTATTCTTTTTTGGCTTCATGTTACGCTTATATTATGCATTATTTACAATGTCCCCAAAAGATTGCCCCCTTGCAACTGAAGGTCAAACTTAAAAAGTTCAACTGCAAATTCTCCCTAACCTGGTGAACTCTTACAACTTTTATGGAAGGGATCCGTTTCCCATACATATCCCAAGTACTTGCTCCTTGGTGTTAAAGAAGGTTTTTGCGATGCTGAACTTGCATTGATCAATTTGGCGGATTGGCTAGTGATTAGAAAGAGACTTCCCTGAACAACTTCCCTGGAGTAAGCTTATTTGTAACAACAAGTCTAGTCCCAGGAGCACTGTGGTTGGTTGTACAAGATCATCTTCCATTTTGTCTAAACATCCTATCAAATTATCAGCTGTAAAACTGTTTGCCGATTATATGAAGTGGAAGATGAGACTTTTCGCCATATATTTTGATTGCTTATTTTGTAAAGCTGTTTAGGAAGGGGTTGCAACTGTTGAAATTTGCAAGGAACTGTGGTGGCTTGCGCTCTATAGCTAGCCATTTTTGGAGAGCTCTTTAAGTTGTTGGCAACATTAATGAGTGAAAATATGTAAACAAATAATTTCAGGGTATAAATGTCAGCACACTATTTTTAAGAGTTAAAAAAAAGGCAATTAACATTAATGAGAGCAAATTAGTAAATAAACATTTTAGAGGGTATAATTGTCACAATAGTGTTCATAATAGTTAAATTATTAAATCACACAAGGAAAAGCTTAGTGGCATTTAATATCATATCAATAGAGGCATATAGGTAAACAAACATTTTAAGGATAAAATTGTCCTCACACTATTCACAAGTGTTTTCTTATACTTTTAAACAAGTAGGGATATAATGGGATTTGGATATTTACTGCCGAAATTCAGTTTGAAATGAGATTGGTCAAGAAGAATACGGTATTAGGATATTATACCGACTTGGGCTTTATGCTTTTCACAGTAACAATCTATTCTATCTGGTGCTGTAGAAATATGATTATTTTTGCTAAGTTACTGTGGGGGCTTTAGGGTGAAGATGGGGAAAGGGAGACATTTAGGAAAGGTTAGGCCTCTAATATGTCTTCATGTTTGTTTTAAGTCCAAGTAAAGGAAATCACTCTATATTCCAATACTACCCCTTCCCTTCTGTACTCTTTCACAACCACAACCAATCTTTCCCTTCTAATTTTTTTTTTTTTCACAATAACCACCACCTCTCTCCCCTGTACTCCTCTCTTAATTTAAACCACGGTTGCTGCTACCTTCTACTTTGTTTGTTGCTAAACCTTTCTGGTTAAAGTAAGATTTCTTATCTAACTCTAGTAGTTGGGTTGTTGTATGGTGGATGGGGGTGGATTCTTTTGGTAAGTAACGCTGTAGAGCTGATTTTGCGTTGATGATGCATGAATTTTAATTGTGTGACGAGTATAGCCGGTGGGTAGTAGTGGTTCTAAGGGTGGTGGGGGTGGGTTTTTGTTGTTTGAAGGCTGATTTCATGGTGGTTTGTGTGAGTGTTAGGTGGATGGGGATGAGTTTCAGTGGTTAGAGGTGATTTTCATGATGGTGGTGGTGGTTTAAGGGGTGGTGGGGTTGGGTTTTGGTTGGAGGCTATTTCGTGTTTCGATGGTTATTGGTGGTTTTTTGTGGTGTTGGTGGTATCAAGTGTTTGCGTAAGGCGGTTAGTGATTAAGTGAATGGTGTGGTGTGGGTATGTTGGTCAAAGTAGTGGTCGAGATGGTTGAGAGAAAGGGTATACGAAACCTTAAGGGGGGGGGGGTGGGTATTGAGTGTAGAGGACTTTGGGGTAATTGAGTGGGAAAAGGGAATGCCTAAATTAATATTTTAAACAATTAAGGTCATCGTCTTTGTTGATTCCATTACCATTTGAATAACCTAAATAAATGCCCCCTAATAGAAACACTACTAGAGAAATTTTGTTTAGATTCTCTCTAAGAGCTTGTGAGTAGATGACTATTAGACTTTTGCTATAGGTTTAGGGGATATTTGGTTTCCGCAAGGTAAATGGAAAGGAAGAAAGAAAGGTAAATGAGAGGAATATAGTAAAAAAAATAAAATAAAAGGGGGGGGGGAGTTTAAATGGTAATGTATGGTTTTAGAACATAATAGAAACAAATTCTCTTACATCATGCTTGGTTTCAATTGTAGCTATAGTTACGACTAGCATCCTAACTCTCTCCCATGATGAGTAGCATCACACAAATACACATTGGCCATTGATTTCTTATCAAACAATATTGATAAAAGGTAGTGCTACTTTCAACTTCATTCCTATGTATTTTTCATAACTAGTTTTAGAGCCAAGTACGGTAATCTTTGAGTTTTGGGCTTATGAAAATGGGGGAATGATGGTAGCGGGTTGTTTCAGGAAGGTTTATGGCTGGCACGAGGGTTATGGTGGAGGGTGAGGCGGTTTTGATTGTGAGGCGGTGATCGATCTTGGTAAAGGAGAGGCGGTTAGATTTTGTTGGGTCGTGACAGTATTGCTTGCAATAATGGTAGTAGCATTCACGTGTTGGTATTCGGTGGAACTTTGGGTAGCTTTGGGAGTTTGAGATGGTGACGGTGGTTTTGATTGTAAAGGGGTGGATTGCATTGGATTTGAGGTGTAGATTAGTTTGAGGACATTGAAATCATTGAAAGGGGGTGATTTGGGTGGAACTCATCAAAGCAAAAGGTACATACAAAACCAAACAACTAGTAAAAGGATTAAGGCTCTTGATTCCCTCTTTTTCCTAAATTCCCCTAATTAATGAACCCTTTGGCGTTTTAATTATATAAAGGACTACTATCTCTATTGTGAAGTCTAAATTGTTGATTGACACTTGCTTTTTTCATTTGCTTTTTTATGTAATCCGACTATTGGGAATTTAAAAAAATTACTAATCTATAGAAAATGTTATAGTTAAGTAGGGTCTTGTTAGATTCAATACAATGTACTCCTACGTTCCTCTCTTTGGAGAGATTCCAATGTAATTGGAATTTAATACAATAAGATAAATGTATACTTCTGAATATAGTAAAGTGGGATCTTAATAGATTCTTCTCAATTTTTAGTTTCAAAGTATGTAGTTTTTATAAACTTTTGTAATGTATTGCTTGAGATATTTTTATTATAATATTGCGATGGAAATTATGCAAAATATAACAAGACAATCTTTTGGGAACAAAGGGAGTATACTTCTAGAATACAAACTTTTTATAATTTTACGTGTGCAATAATGGAGATATTAATGAATTAAGGTTGTAGCTTGAAGTCCGTGAAAATTCAAATGGAGTAATTTTTTAGGAGCTAAGGGAGTATAAAGCAATCTTTTCATAAAAAGCTGTTACTAATGTCGCCTATTAACTATGTTAATCAAACACGGCTAATATTGCGAAGTGGCCGTGTCGACATGATACTTCACGGAAAAAAGAGAAGAAACATGAAAGAAACACATATCTTGTTCGAAAACCACCATTAATATAGAGAAGATGGAGAGAAGAAGATTGTCATTTATTAGGAGAATTTACTGTGGAAAGAATTCTAATAAAAATAAATAGGGGTAGACATAATGAAAATTTAAAGCTTTTGTAATATATAATTTATTTATATAAATTTAAGTGACGTATTGACGTGTTCCTGTACCCGTGTCCAAATATCGGACAGAGTCCACGTGTTCAAAATTTTGGAACTTGTCGGAACGGACATGTGTACTAAATGAATTGGCATTTGGTTACATAATTATACCCGTTCCCGAGTCCATGTAACATAACCTATTATTGCTTCCTTTTTTAAAACAATTTTGTATGTTAGAAATGTACTAAATGAATTGGCATTTGGTAAGTGATTGCAACCCGTGCTTGATTTATTCTATTTCATTGCATCATTTTTTATTTTATTTTATTTTATTTTATTTAATATTTGACTATAGGGATGCATGGGACATGGCTGCTGAAATCTGTCTTTCTCAGCTTCCATCACTCGTGAATGATCCAACTGCGGAGTTTCAGGTGTGTGCCTTTTATGCTTATTGTGCCATTTAATGTGGATTTAAGTTGAGATGAACAAAGTTTAGAACCATGCCCCTAATTTCCTGAAGGACTCTGGGGATCTGTTTTCATGTGAAGTAATGTGTTGTGTTGTGTTTTTTTTTTTTTTTTTCTTTTCTTTTCGTTTTTCTCTTTCAGCCTAGCCCCTTCTTTACAGAGCAGTTGACAGCATTTGAAGTATGGCTTGACCATGGATCTGAGCAAAAGAAGCCACCAGAGCAGTTGCCTATTGTTCTTCAGGTGTAGAAATATGTTACCCTCTCTCTCTCTCTCACTCCGATAAGCATCCTCTTCGCTCTTATTTAAGCTCCCCCCCCCCTCTTCCCCTAAATTTCCCGTATGACAAGTCTAACAAATATGGATATTTTTCAAAAACCTTTTTAAAGGGGGTTTGAAGACTATAGGTCTTTACTCTCTATCATACTTATATGGACTTGGGAACAGGTGTCGTACACTGATGCATGTCCAAGTGTTCGATCTGCAAGTTCCAAAATTTTAGGACACGGGGACTCTGCCCGATATTGTTACGGGTTCACGTCTATACGTTATTTAAATTTATGTAAATAAGTTATATATTACAAAAGCTTTAAATTTTCATTACGTCCACCCCCTTTTTTTAATTCTTTCCTCGGTAAATTCTCCTAATAAATGGCAATCATCTTCTCTTTATCAATGGTGGTCTTTGAACAAGATGTGTTTTTCTTTCATGTTTCTTCTCTTTTTTCCTCTCTACTCTTAATGGAACTGTTTGAGTGCACAGTGAACGGTCGGACACGTGTCCGTGTCGTGTCATGTCGACACCTGTTTTTCTTTCGTGATTTTAGCCGTGTTCGATTAACATAGCTCTCTATTACTTCCAGTTTATGACGTTCTACAACTTATTTTACTTTTTTTTTTAACATGGAAATATTACACCTCCTTTGTTCCCAAATTATCGACTCCCTTTCCATTTTGAGCCGTTTCAAAAAGTTCGATTCATACTTTTTTTTTTGATTTTTGGAAAATCCTTTTTACTATCTTTTCGCTTCTACCCATAATATTTACACATTTTTTACTCACTTTTACTTTATCCATTTTTTTTTTTGACAACTATCTCTCTTTTACTCTATCCATCTTTTTTCTAACACCCATCTCTCTTTTACTTCATCCATCTTTTCCCCCCTTCTCTTTAAGTGACACACTTTACCTTTTTAGAAACATTCTACTATTTAGAATTATATCTTTTTTTTTTGGTCCCCATTACTACATTCTAAATAATTTTTCTCCCCCACGGTCCGTCGGTCTCCACTCCTATATATATATATATATATATTTTTTTTTTATTATTTCTCTCGTCTCACATTCTAGTATTGAATTTTTGAACAAGTTACCCTGCTGTACACCCTATGTATTTCTCCTAAAACTCCGCACGAAAGCTACTGTGTCAATTTAAAAAATAGAGGGATTACTTCATTCACTTTTATCTTACTCCAACTCACTTTTTCCATGCATTCCTAGATTCAAGAATCTACAGTAATGAGTCGAGCTTTTAGAATCGGAAGGATTATGTAATTTCTTTCTTTCTTTTTTTTTTTATACATAATTTTGGTTTTGCTGTTTTCAGTCCCTGACTTGTCCTCATTTTGTATATTTATCCATATTGGTGTCTACATGGCTGAATTATTATTATTATTATTTTTTTTTTGATGTAGGTCCTTCTTAGTCAATGTCATCGTTTCCGGGCTCTGGTGCTTCTTGGGAGATTCCTTGATATGGGTCCCTGGGCTGTTGACTTGGTAGTTATTTGAGACTGAGAATATTTGCTTCTTTATCTCCTTTTACTGATTCATATTTTGGAACCTGTTGCTCCTCTTATGCTCACAGCATTTGTTGCATTAACAATGAGTTTGTGCTTATTTTAGGCATTGTCTGTTGGTATATTCCCATATGTGCTTAAGCTGTTGCAAACTACGACACCTGAACTGCGGCAAATTCTTGTTTTCATTTGGACAAAGATTCTTGCTCTTGATAAGGTTAATATGATACATAGTATCTTAAGAACTTTCTAACACCCCCCCCCCCCTCCTCCAATTTTCTTTCCTCTTCATACATATATTGGATTCTTTCTAAATATGTTTTTTTTTTTCGCTGGAATGTCAGTCATGTCAGGTTGATCTAGTGAAGGATGGAGGTCATACTTATTTTATTAGATTTCTTGAGAGCTCAGAAGCCTTTCCTGAGCAGCGTGCTATGGCTGCATTTGTATTAGCCGTCATTGTAGATGGGCATAAACGGGGACAAGAGGCTTGTATAGAAGCTGGTTTACTCGATGTGTGCCTTAAGTTCCTTCAAGATTCTATTCCAAGTGATGCTCAGTCTGAACCTTTATTTCTCCAATGGCTTTGTCTCTGTCTAGGAAAGATGTGGGAAGATTTTACGGAGGCTCAGATAGTAGGTTTACAGGCAGGTGCTGCTGTAATATCAGCGTCTCTATTGTCTGAGCCCCAACCTGAGGTTTGCCTATCATACATCATAGCAATTAATGTGTTGTCATCTTTTAAAAAAAAATTATATCTTCACTCATGAATAAAGGAAGACAACGATGACTATTTTTCAGGTTAGAGCCTCTGCTGTCTTTGCATTGGGAACTTTGCTTGGTGTTGGATTTGAATCTTCAGGAGATGGAGGGGATGAAGAGTGTGATGATGATGAAAAGCTAAGAGCTGAAATTAGTATTATTAAAAACCTTTTAAGTGTTGTTTCAGATGGAAGTCCTCTTGTCAGGGCTGAGGTTGCAGTGGGTAATAGACTCTTTCTCTTTTACTTTTTCTGCTCTTTAATATACACAATTTGGAATTCCATGCTTGCATTGTTCAATTTTATAAAACTATTACCTTTAATTAACCTTTTAGGGAGAATAATAAGAATTTGATATTTTGTAGTATGTGTTGTGAGGAATCTATAAAGAATTGACATGACTATTTCTTTACGTATAAAATTACTTAACATTGTCAAGGGTAGTATGAGAACACTGTAAATGTCCAAGTGATGAATGGTGCAATTGCAATTATAAAATTTCAGAGAAAGTATAAATTTGGGCAAATTCTCAAAAAGGTTGTGTCGTGCCAAATTTGTGTTTTGTATGTCAGTAAACGTGATGAGAATCCTTGTTGACACTAACCTAACCCATTTAACTAATCTAACAAAACACTTCTACACCGGTGTGCCAACCCATTTAACCTGTTTTAAGTTAAATATTCATGGAAAACAAGAAATTACTGTTTTAAGTTAAATATTCATGGAAAACAAGAAATTATTTTCTTATGCCTGATTTGTTATTTTATATAAATCCATGTGTAGCTAACCTTTAATTTGCTAATATTTTAAGCATATGAAATTTTAATTTAAAGATTGTTAGTTCATTGCTATATAATTAATTTATTTTATTTTTTTATTTTTTGAGGGAATAGTTCATTGCTATAATGTGCTAAATTGTACAATATTTATATATACTTCAGAAAAGCTGGTGAAATTGTGTTAGCTTCTGGTTCAAAATTTCTACACTAACCCAACCCATTTATTATATAGTAAAACTTGCGTTTACCAACTTATGAAAACGGGTCATAAGGGCTTTACACTAACCGAAATTTTGTGTCTGTTTTATTTCATGTTGTATCAAGTCAACTTTTTCCAGCCCTAATGTCGGCCTTGAACTTTTGAACATTATATATAGGAGCTAAAAGTTAGGAAAATTTCATCGTAGCCTTTAATTGCAACTTAATCCCTAACACAGCCTTAATCTTGATTAAAAAGTAAATATGTCATTATAATATTTAAGGTTAACTTTGGGTTGGTGGAAGATTTACTAAAACGCCTCTAACCCTTGCAGGATTTATCTCTACCCAATTTAACTTTCTTTCTATCCCTCTCTTTAAGTGATAGTTCATCGACCTTTCTCTGAAAATTGTCATAAAAATTTACTCTTGCTCAAACCTACAATAAAGTATCCAGCTTTATTAACCTCATGAACAACCTGCAAATGTTGCACTTATAAAATGCCCTTCCATGGCTGCTGCTTGTACTGAAAGTTGTGTATCATCTCATTTTCTAGGTTAAAAGAAATACCAACAAGCATTGAGTTTGACCCACTTCCCTTCCATTGCTCCTCTGAGAAACAAAATAATTAAATTAAAGAGGGGGCAATTGACCAGATTGGTAAATAAAAAAGACCCTTAGTGACAAATTGGTAAAAAAACTTACTCCGGCGACAATTTGGTAAAAAAAATAACTTTAAGCGACAATTTGGTAAATAAAATAATCTCAGGCGACAATTAACCCAAAAATACAAAAATTTCCGACAAAGTACTCACAAATGCTTAACTTAGTTTCTTTTTCATGTTTTTTTTATCAACCCTTTTAATGGAAATAACAATTTCAAGAAAAAAAAAAGTTGAAGTATCAATTTCGCTTAAGTTTCATACCCCTTATTAACGAAATTCTTTTAAAAAGGGGTTAAAAAAAATTGGTATTTGGATTTAGCAAAATAAAAAGGGGATGGCATAGTAATTCAAAATCTTAAATGGGAAAAATAAATTTAAAAACACAAAACACAAATTAAATTAAGATTTTTAAAGAGTTTGTCGACAAAAATAAGATTTTTTGGGCTAAATGTCGCCGGAGTTTTTTTTTTTTTTACTAAATTGTCGCATATAGTTAGCTTTTTTTACCAAATTGTCGCCGGAGTAAGTTTTTTTACCAATTTGTCACTAAGGGTCTTTTTTATTTACCAATCTGGTCAATTGGCCATTAAAGAGGATAGTATTAACAAACAGATGAGAGGAGCTGTGAAAGAGGATAGAGGATGAATTGATTTTATAAGCTACAGTTGGAAACCCTATTAAAGTTGTAGTGAACAATTCATGGGCTTTTAACAGTAATCAAATTAGTAAACACTAAATCAACCTATTTTACTGTCAAACTAATATGGTCTCATTTAGTACAAAACAGCATATGGGGGCTACCATAGGAATTTCTACCACATGTAATGTGCAAAAGTTAATGGCCACCATTGGGAATTTCCCTTAAAATAATGTTACTTTGGGGGAGTAATGGCATGGCTCATGGTGTTTGGGTATGCAGTTATTTGCTTCACAAAGATGTGAACTAATGATTTTTGTGTTGATGTAAACACCCCTGGATCTGATTTTTAATCTTTTTGGTTTGCAAATGTTTTACACCTTCTGAAATTATTGAAGTTCATGGATATGTGAGGTGAAAATCCGTTAGCTAGGTGTGGCATAGGAACTAAAAGTTCTATAACGTATTGTATAAGATCATATTCAAAGATTTAATTAGTCTGATCCGTTACTGATTGATGGAAACATATTTTTATGTATCTGGAATATTAATGTTGATGAAATATGTGTCTACCTTGCCACTTTTGCATCCTCATAAAATGAATATTTTGTCCTGTTTCATTTAAGTTGCTCTCTAACAATTTCCTTATGATATTTGAACAGCTTTAGCTCGGTTTGCTTTTGGCCATAACAAGCATATCAAATCTGTTGCTGCCACATATTGGAGATCCCAGCCAAACACTGGGCTCAGTACTCCGGGAAGTATCATTACTTCACACATTGGTCCTTTGTTAAGGATTGGGGGTGACAGCACTCCAATTGTTCGGGATGGGAGAGTCTCCACGAGTAGTCCACTGGCTACTGCTGGAATAATGCATGGGTCTCCTCTTTCAGATGATTCATCTCAACATTCTGATTCTGGTGCATCAAATGATGCTGTTGGCAATGGAATAATAAACCATGCTAGACCCAGACCTCTTGATAATAGTCTTTATTTGGATTGTATTTTTTCCATGTGTACATTAGCAAAGGACCCATCTCCTCGCATTGCAAGACTTGGGCGGAGAGTTCTCTCTATTATTGGAATTGAGCAGGTTGTTGCAAGACCCATAAGGCCCTCTACTGGTAGTGTTCGGCCAGGCGAGCCTACCACTTCTGCTGGTGCGAGGCTTTCTGGACTAGCTCGATCAGCATCCTGGTTTGATATGAGTTCAGGTATGACTCTGATGTGCTGACAAGCAGCCTGATAAATCTAACTAATGCATTAGCGACAGTATTTGGTGCTGTTGATTGATTGTATCGTTGTCTGTGATCTGATCCTATAATGTCTTTTATTCCTCAGACAAGTTGCTGTATTTAGATTTAGTTGATTCTTAGCTAAGATTTTTGTGCTGATATATTATTTCGGGGTGATTTAACAGGTCATCTCCCATTGACATTTAGAACTCCTCCTGTAAGTCCTCCTAGAGCGAGTTACTTGACTGGAATAAGGAGAGTTTCTTCCTTGGAATTTCGACCACACTTGCTCAGTTCTCCAGATTCAGGGTTAGCAGATCCACTGCTAGGTTATGGTGGGTCTAATGCTAATGCTGAGCGTAGTCTTCTTCCACGATCAACAATATATAATTGGAGCTGTGGGCACTTCTCGAAACCTCTTCTTACATCAACAGATGATAGTGAAGAATTAATAGCAAAGAGGGAAGCAAAGGAAAGATCAACGTTGGACCTCATTGTAAAATGTCAGCATTATTGTAAGTTGGCTTTGTTTTATAATCATTATTCTACTTGTCATTGCTTTACATGCCGATCTTCTTGTATCCTGATTTTTAAAAAATGTTTTTGTAGCTGTTAGCAAGCTAAATAATCAGATTGCAAGCTGGGATACCAGATTTGAGACTGGTACAAAAACTACCTTGTTACAACCATTCTCTCCTATTGTCATTGCAGCAGATGAGAAGGAAAGGATTAGGTAAGAAAACATTTGTTAATTTGTTTATCTTCCAATTTTTGCTGATTCTTGAAGAATTAACTATCTGCTGATATTTCATTTTGAAAACCTTAAGATAAGCATCTAGAAGCATATTATTTTGTAGATTTTGGCATTTAGTTTGTTTTTGGTTAAATCCTGGCTATTAAGAATGTTTAGTAATGAAATCTGTTGTAAGTGTCATTGTTTAGACTTTTTAATGTGAAAAGTTTGTAAGTAGATTCATTTTCATAATGATATTGATCATTATAGAGTTGTGAGGGATTTTTATTTGTTTTTTCTTTTGTTTTTTTGTTTTTTGTGGCGTGCTTCTCCCCTGCAAATCATCAAATGGACTTCTAGCTGTTGGAAATTTTGATACCATTCTTTCTGAAATATTATGGACAAAAAAGTTGGCAATATTGAAGTTCATGGATATTGTGATGTATTTTCTGTTGTGCACTTTTGTTGTTGGCCCTTGCTGCCCTTCTCTGTGTGATTTAGTTCTGTGTACACGTATGTATACAGTCAATACAGATGTGATGTTTCAATTAGAAAACTTAGTAAACGAGTGACCTTTCTTACATGAGTAATGATGTCATTGATTTCTAGATGTCTATTTTGCAGAATGTGCCTATCTATTTGGTGAAATTTCTTATTTTTTGCTTGTGCTTAAATTTTGATGATTGAAGTGTTGAAGTTCAAAAGGCTATAATGTTTAGTGGGTTTATACAGCATATAGTGGGAAACTTGGCTTAATGGTTTTGTAAACGGTTCCTGTTTTTCATACACCTGGTGTTTCAATGTCAAATACACCATTGTGCATACTCCCTCCGTCCCATATTATAGTTCCTGTTTTCCTATTTTGGAGACCCAAAATATTGTTCTATTTTTGGATAGTATGTAAAGACAATTATATCCTCATTTTTTAAACTTTATTCATTGTACTTCCTAAATTACCCTTGACTTTTCCACTTGCATTGTACTTTTTTCCACTTTCACTCTCTAACTTTTGTCTATAATTGTACTTCTCAATTTTTTTTAAAATGTATTTCATCCACTTTCTTCTTCCATTTCTTAAATACGGTGAAAAAACACAAACAAGAACTATATATTGGGACGGAGAGAGTATTATTTTTGGTATTGTGATTTAAGGTAGAAGCTGAATCATTAAGGTTTCAACAGCAGATACATTCTCTACTCTTGTTCATGGCAATCTCTTTTTCTGTTATTCATGTGTATCACTTCGTATCTTTAGGCCATAGATTATGTAGTTGACGTGATGGCTTGCACATGTTGTGTTACATAATTTGGAAAATTTGGGCAAAATTTGGGAGGGGTGTGGGCAACTGGGCAAATATTTTGAACTGGGATATGGGCAAAATTTTGAACTGGGGTGTGGGGAAAAATTGGGAGGGATGTGGGCAATTAGGGGGGGGGGGGGAGGGAGAATTAGGGGGGGGGGTGTGGGAAAATTTGAACTGGGGTTGCATAATTTGCCCATCCCCCTCACTAACAGCCAGTCATCAAAGGCAAATTATACTAGTTAATTGGTAATTCTTTGCTCATTTTAACAAAGTAGGGAGCAAATTACGAACTTGTTTCTAATATCATATTGTCAAATGAGGTAACATTGTTTTGAACAATAAAATAGTCATCTGCTAATTCCTGCAAACCCGACTATATATATATATATATATATATATATATATATATATATATATATATATATATATATATATTTCTTTATTTATTTTGGTTTATTATTATTTATTTATAATATAGATACAAGTTTTAAGTGCATATCAACATCTTTATTGGTACCAGTTTTGTTGTTATTTTATCAGCTGAACAAAAGTAGCTGATCTTTTTTACTTTCACTATATTACTTTTCATTGCTCACATTCATGTGCTTTGTGTTTCTCTCAGGGTTTGGAACTACGAGGAACCAGCACTTTTGAATAGTTTTGATAATCATGAGTTTCCTGACAAGGGAATTTCTAAACTCTGCCTTTTAAATGAACTTGATGATAGTTTACTTCTTATTGCTTCTGGTAAAGTTTCCTCGTCTATGTTCCTTTACATTTTTATGCTATGAGTATGAGAATTCTCATGCATTAAGTAATACTACCTTCATTGTTTTTAGTTGACATGTTTTGACGTTAGCACTATTCACACTTCCCTTTGACTGTGTTTATTGATTTATACATAATGAAAAATAGTCATATGAGATATTGTTGGGTTTTTCTCAATATGTACTTTCAAAATATCAACTTTTTATAGTTTTTGCTTATCGGTAATTAAAGATATTAATGGTTGAATTTGTGCATTGGCACACGTGACTAAAAAAACATGTCAACTTCAAAGAATCAGAGGAAGTATATTGATACCTAAATTATTAGAACTAAGGGTGAATTATACTTATTTTTTCTTCGTGAAGGTGATGGAAACGTTCGAATTTGGAAAGACTACATGCAAAGGGGGAAACAGAAGCTTGTGTCTGCTTTCTCTTCTCTGTCTGTTCAGGGACCTACTACTCGAAATTTGAATGCTGTTGTGGATTGGCAACAACAATCTGGATGCCTAGTAAGTACTTGTTTTGTCAGCCACTTGAACTTCACATATTTTGAAATGTATTCTAAAATATTTCCATCTATTTTAGTTTGTGGCTGGAGATGTACCGTCAATCAAGGTTTGGGATCTAGACAAAGAACAACTTGTGCATTCCATTCCTTCATCCCCCGATAGCAGCATATCAGCACTGGTATCTCTTTTAATCCCTACCTCAATAATCTAGTTACCTGTTTCATTTGTGTTGAATTTTGAGATCCAGAATTTAATGTCTTACTATTATGATATATATTTTTTTTGGGATAAAAAATTATGCTTCCCCCGTCTCATTTTAATGGTTTTCCTTGCTTTTTAAACCAAGGAAATCACTGAAGCCTATGAGAGAATTATGAAAAAATGGAATTTGGAAAGAGAGAATAGTAAAAAAAAAAAAAAAAAAAAAAAAATAAAAAAAATAGTGGACCCAAAAGAGTTAAGGATGTGTTTAAAAGGTAAAGTGCAATAATTTTTTAAAACATTCATCTATGGAAAGTGTGTCCACTAAAATGAAATTGAGGGAGTAAATGAGTGATTTTTCTAAACCTCTCCAATCAAATATCCCTTTAATGCCCCTGCAGCCTTAGCCCCTTCAGACGCAAGATAAGTTAATTTGTCCCAGACATAATCAAAAGATAAAGAAGCTTCTTGGGAATCCTTCTCAAACCAAAAATGCCACAAAGTTGCCCTAAAAATGCACTGTGCTCTCCTTGTCCTTGCCAAACCATGGAGAACAAATTTATAAGCAATCCACCATCATCAGAAAGGAAAACCCTAGTTTTTTTGATATAGAGCAAACAATCTCTACCAAAGCTAATTTGCCATTTCATGGTGAAGGAAAACATATGAATATGACTCGCTAGCACTTTTGTACTGCAAGCAAATATCCTAAAGAATTAGCCCCAGCCTAGGCCTTTGAAGCATGCCATTAAAAGTAATCCTACCTAATGCTAACGTCCAAACAAAATCTCTTACCTTTATAGGGACTTTGTGCCTTTTCAAATCAAATTTGTTATTAGGAAAAGTGGAAACTGAGGGGGCTGGGTCAAACAGCAGAGAATTTATACACATGAAAAGTTCCTAAAGAGTCCCCTGTTGGATCCTTTACTGTATTCAATCTCAGTTTTGAGAACCTGAATTAAAGAAGGAAGCTCCTCAATCTCCATCTCACATGGAGGCCTTTGGAAATATAAATTGTACTCATTTCATAATAAATATAGACACTGGGGTGTTATGACGAGAAGACAATTGGAATGATCGAGGGAACATAACACCAACAGGTTGCGCTCTTCTCCAAACATCTTCCTAAAAACGAATGTGAGAACCAGACTCTATCTTGAACCTCACTAAAGGGGATATTTAAGTGAATACATGTGAAATAAATTCCCAAGGGGTCTGTCTTTGTTCTTAGTTTAATTGTTAGTACATGGCTATATATTCTTTGTGATCAGCTATCATACTCTTTATGAATAGTTGTTATCTTTTTGTTCTTTGTTTCATCAACTTTTTTTGTCTGCTTAACACTGTAACTTGGATTTCTAGGCTGCTTCTCAAGTTCATGGAGGTCAATTTGCTGCTGGGTTTGTTGATGGCTCTATCAGACTCTATGACATTAGAACACCTGAAATGTGAGCTAACTTTGGGTCTTCTTTTGTCTTTTATTACTTTGAATTGCATTGTATGTTGTCAAAGTTGCACATGCTAGCTTGCCTTGTCACATGCTTGGTGCTTTTCTTGGGTTTGAATTAACTTGATTGCACTGACATGTCAATTATGTTGCTATTTGTGAAAGACTCAAATGAGACTACTTGCAGATTGGCCATTGGAATTTAGTTTGGATAACGGTATTATGTTTTTACTATGGTTAATTCGATTATTTACCATTGGGAAGTTGGTGTTCCACAATACATGTGTTAAGAACTAAAAGTATCTGTATGAATGATGTGGCACGGGTTTCATTGTGAGAAAACAAGTTTGTTCAAGTTTAGGATATCGGCTAGATCTAATGGAAGGAACTGGCTGAATTTTATCTAGTTATCAATTTTTTTCATTAATTTTAAAGCTTTTTCTTACCTACGCACGCACATATGTATTAATGACAATGTTAACTGTTAAATCAGATAGAATGATTAAATAAACCTTAAATTAAAAGCTACATATAATTTCAAGCATGAGAATACTCGACAGATTTCTCATTATTTTCTGCTGCTCTTGGTGGTATTCTTTGAACTTTATATGTTTAGTGAGATTTTGAGTCTTCTCAGGGCTTACTATATCTGTAACCGTCTTTGACTTTTTCTAAATGCTCTTATCCTCTTTAGGCTTGTTTGTGCTACCCGCCCGCATATCCAGAGAATTGAAAGAGTTGTAGGAATCGGCTTTCAACCAGGGCTAGATGTGGCTAAGGTGAGTACTCGCCAAATTATTGCTTATATAACAGCAGCACTTGATAGAAAAACAGATAAAATTGATGATTAGTATAACCTCTATTCTTAAATATTCTTGACAATTTATATATCACTAAATTTAAGGTCAGATTGTTAGAAGAGAGAATGGGGTAACAGCATAAAATTTGGCCTATAAATAACAAGTGATTGATAAAGTGGGGTGTTTGTGTCGTGTAAGGAAGGATACTATAATAAATATAATTGCCAAATCAGGTATAAAGTAAGAGTGTAAAGAACAAAGAGGAACAGAGGTTATACATGCTCAGATGCTCTTGCTAATCCGAGTTTTTTTTTCCTTGGGAATATAACTCTGTAAATTGGGTTGCACAGCACTGCCTAACCACGTATTTGTTTCACTCTTCTATCTCCAGATTGTCAGTGCATCTCAGGCTGGTGACATTCAGTTCCTAGATATTAGAAATCACAGTGATGCATACCTCACAATTGATGCCCACAGGGGATCTCTAACAGCTTTAGCTGTTCATCGGCATGCTCCCATTATAGCCAGTGGTTCTGCAAAGCAGCTTATTAAAGTCTTCAGTTTAGAAGGTGAGCAACTAGGCACCATTCGATATCACCCAACGTTCATGGCTCAGAAGATTGGACCTGTAAGTTGCCTCAGTTTCCATCCCTATCAAGTGCTACTCGCTGCTGGTGCTGCCGATCCCTTTGTTACCTTATATGCTGATGACAATAATCCCACAAGATGAACATGTGTACTACCCAAGGCCGAAGGCTATGGCATTGTTTAAGACAACATGGTGACATGATTGAGATCTATGTTGAAGTTACATTGATTTGGGATTTTCCAGGAAATTGTTTTCTGGGAGGTATTGGGAATGATGATGCATCAGTCGTGTCACTACGTTCTCATACCGAGTATAATGGAGTTGTGGAGGTTGGGATTTAGGTTTTTCAGCTGCACATTCATTAGCCCCCATGTAAATTTCGAGCCAGATGGTAAAGAGTCCATTCATTCCAGGGAGGCTTCTGCTAATAAGCTTGCAATATATAGGTATTGACAGTGTAAATATATATAAATGCCTTGCGTCTTTGTCCATCATTTGTTATTATGTCTTTTTTCAAAATTTCTGTAGGGGGGGAGGGGTTTTGTAATGTTTTTCTTTTCCATTTGTTTCAAATTTGTAGCATATTACAAGCAAGCGTTCATATTAGTCAGTGAATTTGGGTGATTGACCCTAACGGTTTAGGCGACAGAGGGATGTTGGTGCATATTTATGCATGTATTAGCTGATTAACGAGTGCTCTAGTGGTACAGGTAGATGCTTGATGTCCATCATTTAATCTTGTACATAGAATTTGTTGAAATTGTGATTTACTTAATTGTAATCAGCGTGTATCATTATCCTTCTGAATTCCTTGTCTTCTAATAAGCTCTCTTAATTTTCATCTAAATTGCCCCCCTATAATTTTCACTGAATTTTACTCAAATGATGTCCCTAAATTTGAATTATTCTCAATGGTACTTGGCTAAAATATTGCAACTATTGTAGCTTTTCAATGGAATTTGTAGTTAAGGTAAGATACTTCGTAACAGTAATATGGGTATTCACGTTCTAACTAGAGCTGTCAATTTGGGTAAACGGGTCGGGTTTGAGTTGGGTTAGTACGCAGGTCGGGTTCGGGTTGGGTCATGCTTGAGTCGGGTCACGTCGGGTCATACATCTTGTCGGGTTTAGGTTGGGTTAGTAAAAGGTCGGGTGAAAAATAGGTCGAGTTAAATTCGAGTCTTTACGAGTTTAAACGAGTTAGAGTTGTGCTCGGGTTCAAGTCGGGTTCGGTTCAAGTCAATTATTTACGGGTTATAATTCGGTCGGGTCATTCTCGGGTTCAAGTCAATTATTTACGGGTTATAATCAGGTCGGGTCATTCTCGGGTTCAAGTCGGGTTCGGTTCAAGTCAATAATTTGCGGGTTATAATCTAGTCGGGTCATTTTCAAGTCTGATCATTCTCGAGTTTGAGTCGGGTTCGGTTCAACTCAATAATTTGCAGAAAACATATTTCGTCCCTAAAATTCGTCCCTAAAATCATGTTGTGAAACTAACCTCTTAAAATTCAAAGTGAAATATTGAAGGAATAGAGTTATGATTCAATTTCCGTTCCAATACCAACATGAGATAACGACCTTACATATTGATTCAATAACAAGTCGGGTTGAATTTGGGTCGGGTCAATAACAAGTCGGGTTGATTCGTGTCGGGTTTGTAACAGGTTGGGTTGAAATTCGAGTCGGGTTTGTAGCAGATCGGGTTAAATTCGGGTCGGGTTAGGAACAGGTTGGGTTGAATTCGAGTCGGGTTAGGAACAGGTCGGGTTGAATTCGGGTTTTGACAGGTTAAAACGGGTTTGGGTCAATTTCGGTTTAGGTCGGGTTCGGTTCATGTCAATAATTTACAGGTTACATTCGGATCGGGTCGTCTCTAGGTCGGTTAATGTTCGGGTTCGGATCTCAAATACTCGGGTCAACTCGGGTCTAGGGTTGGTTTCAGGTCGGGTTAAGTCGGGTTCGGGTCATCATTTTTTTTTCGGGTTCAGATGGGTCGGTTAATAGGTCGGGTTAGGGTTGGTATTTCGAATCGGGTCAGCTTTTGACAGCTCTAGTTCTAACCAAGCCACCACATGCTTTTTTTTTTTTTTTTTTTTTATTATATGTCTATATGTACTCGTATATTTTAGAGGATCCAAATCTGGCTGGACCTTTGAGTAAAATCTTGTGCCCAAACTCACAAAATAATGTCGAGATTGTCGGGCCTAAATAATTTTTTGTGGGGCTAGGCTCGGTTTTTATGCTTGTCCAAATCTGCACTTTTTTTGGGCCAGTCTGGACTAGCCACCGGACTGGACCGATGATCATTTCTAATATGTTTATGGACTTTGTTTATGAATGTTACAATATAGAGGCTATGGATACTTTTCCATCATGAATTAACAAGTGTATGTAAACAATCGAACCAAAGCAAACATTGATTAAAAATGTCCATTTCTCATGCCTACATGAGCCAATTGACATTAAAAATGAGAACGACCTAAACCATACCTAATATGTAATAAATCCGTATTTCTTTACTTGGACATTATTTAAATTGATTTGACCTATATATTCAACTTGAATCGGAGAAAAACTATCTTATTGTCACCTCTACCATAATCAATCCATCACTCTAAGCTAATATATTTACTTGCAAAGTTCAAGAGTGGGAAGAGACAGGCAGTAGAAGGAGATAATGGTTAACCTATTAAAAGAAGTACAAGCTATTTTGTTAAAACTAATAACAGCCATCATTTTAAATCTTGGATACTCTGAAATCTAGTATTATAAATTTCATAATATAATCATATGATTGTACTCAAAATTAATAATTTGATTTAGTTCTATTTGAACTTTTAGAGATGCCAATGTGTATAAAGTAGAAACATCAAAATTTGAAGATCTAAAAATGACGACATTATTTCGTTAAAAGGGAAGCAAGAAACATGCAATTGTGGGCTATACAAGTAAGTTAAGGAAATATCAAACACTTGAATGACTTCATAATGTGCTCATCTTAGGTTCTTACATTCTCTACCGTTGGATTTGGAACAAATAACACATACCTAGTCTATGGTGGGTAGCACATTTTTAAATCTTCAATCAATTTCTCATTAATGACTTTGTTGTTTTATGATTAGTCAATACATTTGAGCATTAATATTGATTGTTAATTCTTCCTCATTATTATGAATTACTTTTTATTTTTTTAATTTTTTTTTGTTGTTGTAACATGTTTTTTCATGTTATATTATGTGAGATGATGTAAAAGTCCTCAGATTAGATGGTACTCCATTGATCAAAATATATAGGGTTACAAAAGTGAGTTTAAATCAGGTAAGAAAGTCTCACAAAATAATTAAAGAATATTCACAAAACTATATCCTTCTATACAAAAAAAACAGAATAATATCTAGAATATATATTTATCATATTATATCAATTTTATTTTTATTTTTTTAGTGAAAGAGAGGGGCAAGCTCCAATATTCTATCAATTATCAATATGTAACAAATATAAAATGTTTTTAATACTAATTACAATTGCTAACAATAGTTGGAAAAATTATGTATATAAATTACTTTTTTTTTTTGAGACAGTATGTAAATTACTTTTAAAAATTAAAATTAAAACTTTTATACATATAATCTCAAGCCACAATTTAATTAAAAAATTAAATTCAATTTTATATTCCATTTTATTTTTTCTTTGATGTGGACAATAATCTATGTAATAATACTCAATGATGCTCATTTCTGTTGCTTGTAACATTTTTATTTTCTTTAAATAATTTACTAATTTATATAAAAAGTATCATGAAGAAATTGACATGTTGGTGTGGGTACTAATTTTGTTAGTTGTATTTAAGCCATGTGTTTGGTTAGCGATCATAGACAAAATTCAAGGAAAGAACGGACTTGTATTTTTCCATAAAATAAACTCTTTAATGATTTCTTTTGTTTTATAGGAAGGAAAATAAATCCTTTTTTTTTTTTTTGCCTTCTTTCTCTTTTCCACATATTGTTAATAGTTTTACACAATATATTTGAAAAGTGTTTTGATTTTCACTTAATAGTGTTTTGAGATTTTGAGTTCTAAGCTAAGAGATTTTATGAGAGAATTCCTATTAATCACTACAAGACATTTGAAATTTATATTAAAATCATTTATAATTATAATAAGACTAATTAGCTATGACGTTTCATACATGAATACTTCTAAAAGTAGAATTCTATTTAATTTTATGGAGTTTATTTTATTCATCACGAAACCTAGCCATAACTTTTCAAACACTACTTGGCAATTATTTTCTTAGTTTGCATAAATTCAAAATAACCTTAAATGAAGTTGCATTTAATAATGTATCGAAAAAAATATATATTTTAAAAAAAAAACTAATTTTGCTTGTAAAAACTCTAAAGTATGAATAAATGTTACTTAATATATCATTTTATCATGATCGCGCCATGAAATTAAAACCACTTACTATTTTTTTTTTTTTTGACGGGAAACCACTTACTATTTACTTGTACCTACTACATACGTTTATTTTGAGAATTTTTTTACTATATTTGCTCAATTCTTTTTGAGTAATTGCAATATTTAGTGTAAATAATAAATATTACAATTAGATTAAAAAAAAACAATGAAATATTAAATTTACATAATTGTTGCATTCAGGTACAGTTACTTGTAAAATACAGCAAAATATATTAATTGATAATTGATTCCATGTGGACCTTTTCTCTACCATTATAGTGTTTGATAAGTTAGCCTCAAAGTCTTTACTATAAACCACTTTGAAACTAAAAACATAACAATATAACATCTCTCTCATTTTCTCTCCTTTTTTTTTTTTTTTTTTTTTGCTCATTTTCTACATTTTGATGTATTATATATAGTTGCTTAACTATAATCACAAATATTAGAAGAAATCAAAGTAGATAATTTACCAAGAAATATATATAATATAATATGGATTACCCAGCTCCAATATTAGTGTGTGTGATTTGTAGAAGAAGTCTCTTACTGTTTTCAGAACTTGCTCAAATTTTCTATGATCTTGTCTCAGTTTTCTCTTCTGCCCTCCTTCAGTTTTCGACGTCGTCGAGAAGATCTGCTATTCATCATTCCTCCATTACTGTAAGGTTTTCTGGGACATCTAATTTAATGGCTGTTTAATTAGTGTAATTATTAGTTAGTTAGTTTTTTTTTTTTTTTTTTTTTTTTTTTTATGATTTATTATATATTGTTGTTCAATAATGAAATGAAACAATTGTATTAATATATAAATAATATAATTTCATAGTTATGCTTTTGGTCAACTAGCTTAATTACTTGAATAAAGTCTAGAGATGGTATATATATGCATCCTGTATTTGAATCTCGTCTACATCATATGTCCTTTACATATACACCAAAAATAAATATGATTTAGCTGTAGATTTTCGCTTTCGTGATGTTAGTATAATGATAGAATTACTATAGAGAAAATGGTTGATTAATTTTTGCTCGTACTAGTGTATGTCCAAGATCTATATATTTAACCTTAACCTTTCTTTAGAAGCTTGACATATATTAACATTTGTTTATATTTATCCATAAATTAAGTTTTTATTAAGCTCTAAAAGACTTTAAAACAGTTAAACTTTACACAGAATTGAGTAGAATTATGATTCATAGATATGAAATTGAGATTTATTCGAAAATTAAGATATAATTAACTTAACAATTTGAATTATAAATTTCCACCAATGTCAAATAATTTTTGTTCACCAACAAAATTTGAGAAGCAATGAGACCATTGCAATGCTACAAGAATGCTTTCTTGTGTGTCCATTTTTTTATTTATATATTTTTTATTTTATTTTTTTAATTATAATTCAATAGGTTGAGTTTACATATTTTTATTTTCAACTTATTCAAATACTGTTTTTAAGTATAAATATCTTCTCTGTTTGAAAAATAATCTATTTACGAGTTGAGAATAGTTATCCTACATTCCTACATTTACAAGATAGAGCATGAGAATAATTAACATATCATATTAGTAGACTAATCCATCTATCATCAATTGATTTCAGGATAAAACTGTACTAGATTTATATAGTTATACTCTCCTTTGGATAATCACTCAATCTCAACCCACTAAAGCTCATATCGTGTGCTATATATATGAACACAGTAAGAATTACTACCTCGGTCCCAATTTACTTGCATCATTTCTTTTTAAGAAAATTTTCTCACTATTTTTCTATCATAACATTCATCTTTAATATTCATGAATCCTTGATGTTGAAGAAATATTGAAATAAATCCGATACCCAAATTCATGTAATGTAAATACGAGGCTGTTAAAAGAGAGTGGTACGTTCTTAAAGTGTTACAATTGTACTCCGTAGTTCACAAAGTCGTTTTTATGGCCAATTTATGACTGTCAAGCTAGTTTCATGCCATTTTACAGGTTACAGAAACGTGCAAGTCTATATTATACAATACAACATGAGAGGGTTACATAAATTATACATGTAACATAATAACATTAGTAACACAATTGCATCACAGGAAATATTTTAAGTACTGCATTAACATTGCAAACATGGTGTTACTTTCTAGATATAGACTTCATTTTATAATTTTGATGGAAGTGTGATCTTACTTCTTACTAAGAGGCTAATACTATCACAACAGTGACTAACATGGAAAACAAAAACAATTACAAACATAATACCGAAAAACTATCTAAGGTACGGTTCAGAGGTACCAGATACAGATTTGAGTAGAAAAAAAAGAGAACTTCATGACATGAAATGTTTGCATCTTCATATCAAGCAGAAACCTAAGCACGCATATGAAGTGACAGTAATGGAGAGACAACGAGGTGTTGGCTCATCATCGTTCATATTTGTCCTCCACAGAAGAAGAGAACTTCGTGCTGTATTTGGATGATTAGTTTTCTTACCAAGAAGCAAGCAATAGACACAACACATTACCAAATGCGATGAACTTTACAAATGATATTGAGTCTAATTGCATCACTTCTTCACATCTTTGCCATCACACAATCCATCACGTCCACCAGGTAGTCTGAGAAAAAACCCAAAGAGATACGATAATCAACTTCAGTTATAAACGAAGTAAACAAAGACTTTGAATGCAAAGGAGTGTCAAGTAGTCATGTCAAACAGGTTAGTCGGACAGATACAGGCCGGTGAGTTTTCACGTGAAAAGTGCATTTTTAACCAGCATGCTTTCTAAATTTACAACTATATTTGCTCAGGTGTTTCTCAACCAGGTTATATTTAACAAGTCAAGTTTGGGTTGGGTTGGGTTGGCTCAAATTTCCGGTTTCTTAATAGACAGTAGATCGAGTATTAGACTATGCGATACAAAAAATGTGCTATAAATGACTACACCCTGACTAGTGTTGCTTTAATTTAAGTCAAATGCTACAACCTCACTTTGATCATGTAATGAAATAAAATAAGCAAATGGACTGGAAAAGTCGTGAGCTGAATGCATTCTTCTGCACATCAGAGCTTTCGTACTAGCGAACGACACATACAAAACCCTGTTTCATGCATAAATTTTAAGATATTAAGTTATACAAGCAATAATAATATAAGGGTGAGCAAGATTTACCAGCATCATCCTTGGTGAAGCAGAGGGGAGGTGTGATTCTGAATACATTGCCATAATATCCTCCTTTTCCGACCAATACTCCCATTTCTTCAAAGTAAATGAATAAATTCCGTCAAAAGAAAGCTTATGGCACAGGTTTAAGGCACACGAGGAGAAAGTTTCAGGTAAAAAAGAAAACTTAACGAAGGACTACAATATTTACCTTTCATTTGGTCCATCACATGAAAGACCTCATCCTTCGCTGGAATTTTCTTTTCACGATCCTTAACAAGTTCTACCCCTAGCATCAATCCTCTTCCCCTAACATCACCAATCACTTCAATAAAAAACAGCAAAGTAGAAAAAATCAGTACATCTTAAAAATAGATATAAAAAATAAAAAAAGAAAAACTTTGAAAACTCATTCTATCAGAATCAAGGCATGAAACCTACACTCATATTTGTCCATCAGAGCAGTGAGCCTCGTCTTGAGATGGGTACCCACAACATGAGCATTTTCCTGAAGTTTTTCCTTTTCAATCACTTTGAGAACAGCATGTCCTGCAGAAGTGCATACAGGATTTCCACCAAAGGTATTGAAATAACTACGACGAGTTAAGACATTCGCAATCTCAGGGGTGGTAACTACTGCACCAAGGGGAATACCATTCCCAATACCCTGAAAAATCACAAACAGAGAAATATGTCAAAAGAATTTTTTTTCAGAACCTTTCACAACAACCCAAGATAGAGAGTTCCAGGTATTCAAAAGATCCCAAATCTGCTCGCTCATATTCAGGGGTTGACGTATTCCTCACTCTCATAGTTCCTTCTAAGTTGCAACAAAAACAGCTTAATGTAATAGTTCAATGATTCAATTTTCAATTACTTCTGCCATAATTCAAACCTTCAAAGTATAATGAAAGCATACATGACTATACAATAAACTTAGGATAACAGTCAGATATGTTAAGCATGCGCCTAACAGCCTAACTTTCCTAGGCAGCACTTTACTAATAGATTAGTTGAGTGGCTAGAACGAGACTTTCTTCAATATAAATCACATATACTGTGCTGTAATTAAGTAAAACGGAATTCACCAACCTTTGCCATTGTCACAATGTCAGGGACAACTCCATGAGACTCAAAACCCCAAAAGTGGCTTCCAGTCCGAGCAAATCCAGCTTGTACTTCATCGGCAATAAAAAGACCTCCAGCTTTCTTTACAATGTCATGCACAGAAGAAAGGTAGCCAGGGGCCAATTCGATGATTCCTCCAACTCCCTGCCACACAAATAACATTATTAATTAGAATGACTTATGAATGTGCCCAAAAGAACACCATGTGCATTCTTATGGAGAAAATGCCGACCTGAATAGCTTCGCAGATGAAAGCTGCGACATGACCGGATGTACCAAATTGAATGATATCCTGAACATCTTTTGCATACATCTCTCCATCTGCTCCAAACAGACCCCTATAAGGATCAGGATTCATGGCATGGTGGACTCCACTCTGTAACAGATTCAGCTATTAGCAAACTATTTACCCCATTGAAGAATCCTAGGAATATGTTAAATTGCTTTCCAAGAGAAACAGAGCTTATATCATTCGAAAACAGAATACAGAAAAAATGCATAAAGTCAGACAATTCTGTTTGTAAATGCATACAGAAAATTCTGCTACATTCTCAAAAGCAAAGAAGCCTTCCACAACAAAAATTCTGCTACATTCCCACATGCTTCACTGACTGACTGTTGAGCACTCCAGCAATTTTAAGCTAAGCTAGCAAGAAAAATACACAACTAATGCTTCCACTAGACAGCAATCTATTGTATTGAGTTTGAGAATTCTGCTCTTCTACTGTGAATGTCCAAAGAGTTTAATTTATACCTAGATACCAGCTCAAACTTCTGTCAATATTACGATAGAATTCAACAAAAAAGAGTGAAGCAGATCCATTATGAGTATTTTTCTCAGCCTTAAAAACCGACAGGTATCTAATAACAAAGTGCTTGTCCTATCAAGATCATCCAAGAACAAGAAAGACTAAAGCCCTTTTACGATCCAAGCTAGTCAAAAATCAAGAACAGGATTCATGGTGCAATCAGCTCAACATTAAACAACATTAAACAGGATTCATGGTAAATTGAACATGAGCAATCTTTTTAGCTGCAAAAAAGTAGCAGTGGAGCCTTATACCTGAGTGACATTGAACTTCCAATTGCTTTGAGCAGTTGCACCCATAGTTCCAGCTGCATTTCCATGGTAGGCGTTTCTCACGGAGATAACATCCTGGCAACCAGTGTATAGCCTTGCCATCATCAAAGCCAACTCATTTGCTTCTGTCCCGGAGTTTGTGAAAAACACAACCTACAGCACGTAAATTGAATCCATAAGTTAAAGAGTAAGACCCAAAAAAAACTCTTTACAAAAGCAACCATACAGTGTACAAATAAGTTTAAGCAACATGAAAGAGTTCCCTCTAACTTAGGAAAACCAGAAAAAATTCGTACATCCTATATATTATAAATATCTAAAGAGATGGATACTACTTTGCAAGAAAGATGTCAAGTAGAAGCATGCAAGAAAATTATGTCCATTTTTGACATCAATAAAAGAGTCACTATCACTATCTTGTTCATCTTATCCAATCAAGGCTCTAACAAAAGCCATAAACCTCTTTGCAATTTTAGGAAATAAGGATAAGGATGAATAGCTGACATTCTAATCTTTTATAAGATGAGAAGAATTGGAATGCTAGAATGATATAGTAGACACAAATAATAAATGAATAATTATAGAGTCCAAAAATTCAAGCAAAATAATATGGCAGTCAAACTATGTCACAACCCCACCCCACCCACCCCCCCCCCCACCCTCCCCTCGCACCATCCAAATACAACAACAATATCAGAGCCTTAATCCCAATGATGACCCCCTCGCACCATCCAAATACAACAACAATATCAGAGCCTTAATCCCAATGATGAGGCCGGCTACATGAACCAAAAAAGACTATTTGTTGTACTCATCAACCAAGATTCTATGAGCACTTTTCTCCCTATATGCCATTCTATCAAGTGATATGTTCCTTGCCCAATTTTTTTCGTATCATTCCCTTCCCCATCCAAAATAAATAAAAAAATCAGAAAACAAAAAACGTTACCAAAAAGAACTGTACCAAGTCACCAACAACAAAAATAAGTAATCCCCACCAAACTAAGAGACAGGTTCTTTGTTGTATGCTTTACACGTCCAATAACAAACAAATGTTTCCCATACAAGTAACAACTAGTGAATGGACTATAACATAGGACAAGCACAAAGTCACTTTCTTTTTCTATGATCATAAGTACTCAGATAAAGCATAAAACCAACAAGTGGAGTAACACCTAACAAGAGTTGAAAAGAAAATGACGTACTTTGAGATCACCCGGCAATTTAGAAGCCAAAGCCTCAGCAAAATCAGCAACAGCAGAGTTCAAGTACAAGATTGTAGAGTGCTGTAAACGCTGTGTTTGTTTCACAATGGCCTCAACCACGTCGGGGTGGCAATGACCGCAACACACGGTTGCAATTCCCCCGAATGCATCCAAGTATCTCCTCCCTTTGTCATCATACAGATACTGCATCCTCCCATCTACCACGTTCAGCTGCCACACCCACCAACAAAAACACAAAATAATTACATAAATATTAATTTTTAAAAAAAATAGTAGATACATCCGCCCAAATCCTAATGAATAAATTGCGTGCCAAAATATATTATTTACACAAACTTGGAAAACAAAAATCATAGTCACCTTACAATCAATACAAAATCTTGTATAAACCCGGTCCACAATATCTATGACATATTGTACTATGTACATAAGTTACTAGTCCATATTTTAATACTTTGAGATTCCCATTTAAAAATCAGTCACATGAACACGTACTCAACATGAACGGGTGTACATTAATCTTATAGTGAACCTAGCCTAAGTAACACCTATGATTGAATAATTGATCAATCAATACCTCATTTTGACAAAAAAAAATAATAATAATTATAATTAAATTCTTTTTTTTTAACACTTTATTTCATAATCACAACAATCAATCAATAATTCACAGTATTCAGTGTATTCACTACCCTACTGCATACTGTCATAATCTCTATAATATAGTACATATTAACAAATGATTGATATGATTCTTCTAATATATTAGGGTTCGTTTGGCACCTTATGGTTTTCTGTTTTTTGGTTTTTGTTTTCTAAAAGTATATGATATGTGTCCCATAATGAATCAAAAATTATATAAACTTGTTAAAATTATGATAATTTTGAAAACTGACAACAAAAAGGAAACGCCTTTTTCTTGTTTCCAGTTTTTGGTTTTAAAAAAAACAGAAAACTTAAAACCAAAACTGATGCCAAACAAGGCCTTAGTTATTTGTTTCCTTTTAAATTTTACAATAATGCATATTTTGATAATAAAAGGAAAAAAAAATCAATAATTTAAGTAATATTAATATTAAAGCATATAATCAAGAAATATATCATCAAAAATTACATCAAATAAAAATTTTACATGAACAATTCACTCGAACATTATACTCTCAGAATTCAGGAAGTTTAATTTACACTACATAGTACAATAAACTATATATATTACTGATAATACAAATTAAGAATAACACAAATGCATTAATAAAAACAATTATTATTAACAATCAATTTAATCAAAATAATTCTAATGAATAGTATTATTTAGTAATTAATTAAAAATGAAAAAAACTTACAGGATTATTAAAGAAGGTGAACATAGAAGGGCTAAGAAACTCCTTGCGCTTCTTAAGGATCTCATCGGCGGAAGGTCCGGTGTACGGCGGTGGCGAATAATCAAAAGCCGGCATCTTTGGCAATATGACGTCATTTCCCGGCGAGCTGACGTCAACCTTTGCCGTTGCTGCCGCCTGAGAGGCAATAAAACGACGTTCACCGCCACTTTTAACGGCGGTCATAAACGCCCTCCTCATTTCCAAAGATTTTATCTTTTTTTGTGGGGTTTTTGGGTTTTTTTTTTTTTTTCCTTTTTCTGTGAAGTGTAATTCCGAAGAAGTAGGAGTGAAAAATATGAATTAGAATTTGATTATTAAAAAAAAAATGTGACATGAAATTATAAGGTTTGTGCTCTGTTTATATAGGAAGAAGAGTGAGTGAGATAGAAGGGAATTAATGACGTGTACGACTTTTTATTTTTTATTTTAATTTTGGTTTTATTAAAAAAAATGTATTCACCGTAGTTGATTTTTTTTTTTTTTTCTAATTTTAGGAAATTAAGGAATGTAAATCTGAAATTGGAATTAATTCAATTGATATTGGTATTGTTTCGTAATATGGACATTTGGGAATAGAGAAAAAGGGGAAAAAAACTGTCTTGGTTAAATTACGAATGTAACTCGTAATTTTGACCAACTAAAAAAAGGTTTGAAATGTCTTTTTTTTATATATAAAATTAAGATAAATTAATGTAATAATTAAATATATAAGGTTTTAATTGTGTTAATTCAAAAAAGAATAACTCTAATTCAATTAAAATTAGAATAAGTTTTAATAAATTTTTAATAAGTTTATATTATAAGATAAGATAAATGCATATAAGTTAAAGTTAGGTTATAGATTGAGAATAGACCTTAGGTGTTAGTCTCCAATAGAGGGTTATCATATACTCCGTATCAACATAAGAAAAAAATAAAATAAAATTAAAAAATTAGTAGTTTGTTAGAGCCAATGATTGATAATTAAATTAATCAGCAAAGAACAATTAAGGGCATGTTCACATTACATACCCTAAGTTGATACTCGCACTTGATAGTAAAAGTTTAAAAGAGACAATAGAAATTGGAAGGTGGAAACATCCTATAAGGTATAAGCAAATTACTTTAAAGTATAACACCCACCCTTGCATTGATTTCAATTAGAGTCTATTAACTTGAGCTTAATTTCAATTCAGTTCAGCTCCAATCATTTCAATTCAGTTTAGTTCAGCACCTAATTTTTTTCTCTTATAGAATATTCATTTTAGCTCTATTCAATTCAGTTCAGCTCAGTTCATTTAATGTAAACAGCCCTAGTCTTTACAAGAGTAATCTCTCACTAATTTCTATTCTAAAACACAATGGGTGACAAACACAATAACTCTAGCTCTTTATGTGTTTCACTTATTTGTGGATAAAAAAAAAAAAAAAATAACCACAAATGAGTATTTATACAGCTGATATTTCATGTCATCACAGACAGACCATGGTAAACAGATATAACTTTCTCGTTTCTTATTGGAACTAAGCTTTATGACTTGTCATTAAAAAACTCTTAAAATAAGTTTTTCATAAAAAAAATTAAAATAAAATAATAATATAAATTAAAAAAAGTTGAACCATTCAATTCTTCCATGTTTAACACAAGTAATTCATCCATTAACTTATATGCCAAACCTCAATTAATTGACAAAGAAAACAACAAAATGAAAACAAACAAACTAAAAACGAAAACACAGCCACAAACGTCTACGCGTCTCAAATCATATTCCAACAATGTTTTTATGAAAAATGAGAGGCATTTTATCCAGGCATCCAGCTTCCTAGTCGTATGATTGTCCCAATTGTTGCAAAAATATATATTGAATTTTCTATTCCTCATCATTTGGATTTAACTTCATTGAGGACAATGGAGTCATTTTTACGTCGACATCAAGATAGCCATGCCACGTGTACGATCAAATCAGCATAATGTTTCAATATGGATGGAATATATATATGTGTGCAATTAATTATTTTATTTTATTTTATTTTATTTTTGAGAAAATGCAATTACTACGTAATTATTTTTGGTACAAATATAGAGCAAATATTAGGGACTTAAGGTTAAAAGGAAAATTCCTTATTGGTGCTTGATATTTAAACTGTTTTCCACTTTTAGTACATAGCTTAGTATGATGCTATCATCAAGTTTATGAAGAGCATTAATGAATTACGTGCCTTTTCATCCATTGAGTGACACGTACAGTATATACGAAACTCTCACATTGTTGCACACTCAGAATATCAAATTTGTGAGAGTGAGGGATAACTCAAGTGGTTAGAGCTCCCCTCCCGGTTCCAAGTGATCTTGGGATCGATTCTCATCACCCGCCCTTGTGGCTCTCTAAACACCAAAAAAAAAACAAAAAATATCAAATTTGTAAAATAAGGTCTTGACTTAATGGTTAACATTGTAACATTAAAGTAAAACAAATAAATGTTATGACAATAGTGAAAGTTGAAACGGGCACAGGTTGTACCCATCATAAAAAAAGAAGTCTATTTTATAAGTCCAGAAAGGTTCTATCCCAAAACCATATGATAACGAACAAGAGAAAGAACTAATTTACTCTGTTAGCTATTATCAATGTAGAACACTTACATGTATTTTCTACAAAACCTATCTTCAATATGCCAAAGTAATACCCCTTCCATTTTGCAATTATTGCAACTATAGGTCTTGCACTAAGTTGTAGGAAAGTTATAGGGTAAGAATCATAGAGTGGATGGATTTTATAATATAATTAAAGCAAGTGGTGTTATATTTAATTGTTAGCAGAAGAATAATACAAGGGTGTTTAACTTATATCCTTTCTTTTTACTTTTATGGCATTTGGTGGGATGATTTACAAAAAATATAGGTTTTAAGAAACTTATTTACGGTTTTGCATTGGAATGAAACTTATTTACGAAAATATAGTCCATGTAGGCTTGGAGATACATTTGGGGGTAATTTTTTTCTTTAGAGACAAACCGCTACCTTAAGTAGCGGTTATAGTCTAAAACCGATACTTGAGGTAGCGGTTTGTCATTAGTACTCTAAGTAAAGACACATTTAATCAATTTATGAAGGGTGAAACCGCTACTTGAGGTAGCGGTTTTACTTTGAAAAAAATAAAAACTTATCCGAGTCTACGTGGACAGTAATTTCGTAATTAAGTTTCATTCCGACGCAAAAGTGTAAATAAGTTTTAAAATAACCATACTTTCGTAAATCATCCCATTTGGTGGAGGGAGTTTTGGATAAGAATGAGGAATACATTCCCAACTTATAAGAACTCCATAATATGCCCACATGCTTAAAATTAATTTTCTATACCTGGTGTATAGTGCGTCCCAAAGTATTTTATACTCATTTGATGATTAAATGAGTAATAATAAATAAAATAAGCAAACATACTTTTAGGTACACTGTGCACCCAGGTGTACATAACAAATTCTCTTTACCCAATTGCTTAACAACCCTAGGCGTTTAAATATTTAATTTAATTATCATGTTTGATACTACTTGTGCATATATGTTTCTTAACTTAAATTGCATGTTTTGTTCTTCCTTTTTTTGGTTAGCTTAGCTTGCTTTATGCTAAAGTTACTTTCCTTAATGAGTATGATTTTATTTTCTTAATTCATTAACTTAGATTTCTTGAAACAACATCTTTAGGGGAAGGATGATCTATCTAACCTTAGTATTCAGCCTCCCCTATCCGAGAAAGATCCTAACAGCCACTCATGCATAAATACTTGAGAATAATTAAGGTGATCAAGTACATAATTCATTCCTTCAAAGAGATTATTAGATCGCAAAGTTGTGTCCACCAAATAAATTTGGGGTTATTACTTATTAGATAGAGTTTATGTCTTGACCTAGAATATTTGTGAAATTAGATATGATGTATTTTAGTAGAACTTTTGTTTCACTTTGTTTATTTGCAATCATTAGCAATTAGTTATTTCTATTCTCATCAAATTGATTTGTGCCCCTTTACCAAAAGCATAGGCAATCCAATTCCATGTTAGCTAATCACACATAATCTATTAACCCCTGTGGATTTGCACAAACCGGTCGAACCCTTATATTACTTTAGGTCTTTTTTAAAGTAACATATTAAGGCGCAACTTAGGTGAAAATATCTTTTAATTTTGATTGGGTATATTGACCTAGACTCAATATAATTATATATAATATGCTAAACCCCCACCAATAAAGTGTTGAACTACTAGTAAATAATGAACTTTCTAACAGGTTGGGAGTTCAATTACTACAAGGGATACTTTTAAGGGTGGGGATCCCCTTAGTCTTCATCGCCCACTAATCTGGGTCTGGTTAATCCTAACTTGTGAAAATTCTAAATCGATAGGACGGTTCAATTCTTGTTAACATTCAATGTCCTTCAACTTTGTTTCATAATATAAATGGTCATTCCAATTCAATTGCTTTATTTATCTTTCCAAAAACACTATGCAAATTACTATGAGGTTGTTAAATTGTGACAAAGGACATAGAGTCATAGACAGATTCCATCAATATTTCTCATGACAACACCACTAGTTGTCGATAAATGATTGCATGATGAACCATCAACTTTTAACTTGATGACACCATGAGAAGGCCGCTTTCACCAAACAAGATTTGTTAATGAGTAGTAATTGTAAGCAAGAACAATGAATGATTTAATGTTAGAAAGGATACATTCATTTTAAAAGGAATATAGACTAATTTTAGAATAACATTCACTAATTATTCTAAGGGGAAAAAAAATGGTTATTTGCGAGACATGTCCAATTTTGATACCAAAGAAATCGTAATATGCTTTGGTTACTTTGTTTTTTTATGGACATCTAGCTACTCCACCAAATAGCTAAGACATATAGTATAATATACGAAGCTATCTTATCTTGACATTATTATGATGCCAATTATACGTGGATTGATAGATTGATGTGAATGAATACTATAACACGATGTATATTGTTTATTAATAAGCATAATAATATGTAAGTTTAATTTGATATTTAATTAACTCAAAGATTACGTAATGGGGCAAGCAATCAAGTGATATAAGTATAACTAATATTATACTTGTACTTGTGATTTGGTTAACTAAATATTGGTTTTCCATTTCTCCATTGAAAACGTAAAACACAATTTGCAAGTTAATAATGGATCGGATCATTAAGGGATTGTTCACATTTACTTAATTTCAGTTCACTTCAGTTCAGCTTCAATCAGTTCAGTTCAGCTCCTAATTTTCCTCTCTCATAAAATATTCATTTTAGCTCAGTTTAGTTTAGTTCAGCTCCAATCAGTTCAG